CTGGTCTCTCATCATGATTAAATGGCTTTTCCTTGGGCGAGCTCCAGAAATACGCTGGGGTTTGAAACACAGAACAGTTTCAAAATTCCACAGTGGCCATTACAAAGTTTCTGAAGCACACACAGATTTTTTTTTTTTTTTTTTTTTTTTCCCCCAGAGGAGAATCTTGTAAGCTATCTCATTCTAGACCTCAAGCTTCCAGTGATCCAGGAAACCTGGATATCCTGGATAACCTATCCAGTTCACCTACCTGGCCGTTCAGCGGAGGTACAGAATACCACCTTGCCAACTGTTAACACCTGCCTTGTGAACTTGTCTTGAGGTGTCAAGGAACTTCAGTCAGAGGCTCAATTATCCAGCTGTTTTATTACTGTGCTAGTAAGACTTATGAACCTAACACCTTCAGGATCAAGAAAGCCAGCACTTACAACAGAGAACAATTTCCTAGGCCAGTTCTGTGTTTACAGCAAAAGAAAAATGAGTTAAAAATACTGGCATTCAACCAGAGAAAGAGTTTCTTCAAAGCGGAGCAGCAAAAATGCAGCTCTAAAAGCTAACGGCACATTTGTTAGCCACAAACAGTGACTGTGCAATAACATGTCAGAGAAGCCTCCTGTGTTTGAAAAGGAGACAAATGAAATGCCAATAGTCTTTGAAATGAAATGGGCTTTTTTTTTTTTTTTTTTTAAGCGGGATATAGAAACCACAGGGAATGGAGAAACAGCACTCAAGACTTTTGCAGAAACCCAAAGATATTATGAATTACAGCACAGCACTTCAAGAGGAAATATGAAATCCTCAAAAACTCTATCTAAAAACGTGCACGTTTTGACACTTTCTAACAATCGGCACTACCTGTGTTAGCACCACAGCTTCTTGGCACTGTGCCTCTCCTGGTAACAAACCGAACAGACTGCCACTAACCAAGTATTTTAGTTCTACTTGATGCTTAATACTTTAGATTACAGTAACTGACAATTAATAGGAAAGCTAAAATCAGGTGAAGAATTAATTCAGTACACTTAAAAACCTCACACCACTCTCAAAGCAGCTTTTTCCATAAGACTAAGAAGATACTTGCATAAAACTGACGCTGGAGCAGCACTATATTCACTGGAAGTCAGCTATTGTCTTTGAAGATGCTCACTCAAATATATCTGGGGYTTGATATACATTCAAGTTGATACTTTCCATCTTTTTTTGTCAATGTATGCAAGTAGCGTAAAATATATTGTCTCCTAGAATTATGACAGGAGAAACATTTTCTATTAAAGTCTCCTCTGATCAGAACTCCCATGCAGTCAACAACTGCATCTTCTTGATACTTCACTGTCAACTTGCTAAATCTCAAATGCCACTGAGATTTACAACACTCCTGCCTGGCTCCCCATTCAGATTCTGAAGAACCCGTCACTGTTGTTAGTGGAAACTGGCAGCCTGTAAATAAATATAATGGTAGAATTGCTAATATGCTCTATTTCCACCAARAGTAATTTTTTTGCTACATATGGAAGTGATGTCATGAATTCCACATGGTGGACAATTTCCTGCTAGTTATCCCTACAGCTGAAAGTATCTGAAAGTTATTCTTGAAACTACACATAACTAAGTCGTTTAAGCCTTTTGACTATTATTGAACCAATTTAGCTTTTATACTGGGTTACAGTAAACATTTAATATTGGTCTCTCAAACCTCTACTGTCCCACCACCTACTTCCAGATCCTATCAAAGGTACTTAATAATCAGTACTTACCCAAGGAATGCAAGCAATTCCCTCTCTACCACCACTCACTCTTCCACATATTTGACAATTTTGATAACACCAAGTGATTTCAACTTTTGGACGTTCTATACTGGTTGAATTCTGTAAAGGTTTAAATGTAAACTTTTATGAATTATTTTCACACTAATTAGTATTAGTTGCTTAAGTGCGTGCACACACACATACACACGTGTTTATGTACACACACTCATTAAAAAATTGAGTTTTATGATGTGACATCACTAATTTGCTTTCTGACTTGGAAATCTATTTGTTCTTTCTAAACACATATTACTGACAACAGGGCTGCTACTGGTACCATTTGTCTGACCAGAGTCCTTCTTGCATCCACTGCTGTCATGGTGACATATATGTAATTTTGAACTAATTTAATCAACCAACAAAGAGATACAAGTCTTCAAGATATCAACTGAAATGTTAAACTACTTGATCAGAATTCTACTAAGGACTATTAAGACTATTTAATTGATACTTTCTATTTACAGGGCAACTAGTGATAGTATTTTTCTAACACCTTTTAATAAATTTCTAACTTCATTTCTGTTCAGCTCAGCTTATCATCGTCAGTGATAGTGAAATCAAATATGCAAAATATTCCACCTTTGACAGGAAAATCTGAACTTGTGGACTGATTAATAAATGCTCTGTACAATTGAAACTGGAATTTAACCCAATGATCGTGAACAGCACATTAAAAAAAGTCATACCATGCAAGGGGAAAGACTGAGCTCACTTAAGAGCTATATTTCCCTTTGACACTTTTGAACCTTTGCATGTTTTAGAGCTAAGASCATTTCCTTACAGAACACAAGGATCTACTTCTCAAGAGCAGACACAAGCCAGCGAAAGTCAAACAGACTACAGAAGTCACCCTGCAGCCAGGGCAACATCTGTGGCCTCTCAAATACACTCATATCTGAAGGGTACTTGCTCTTCTACTCTCATTTATACTTCACGTGCACCTTTTCTTCATTCACTGCTAACCTCCTCTCACAGACTTTTCTGACTTGTGTAAAACTGCTGCTCATCTCTTCCATTTTCTTCTTTCTTCACAACACTTTGTCTTGTCCTTCCACAGAACAGATTTCATTGATCCCATTCAGTACCTTAAAAAATAACATAAAAGTCAAGGGAATAATGGAATTTCTTTTYGCAGAAGTTCACTGAAATGTTTTACAACCTTTCATTGCTCTCCTACTTTCTTACTTTATGGTACAAGCTCCTTTGTGTAGGTGTTGGGTATTGCTCTATTTATGTGGTGTCCCTTTTTGGTTAACTGCTGTGGGCTCATTCCCCAAAGCACGTGTTTCTGTTTTTGTTTTTTCCTTCGAGTTCACAAACAGTTTGAAATTGTGCAGCAGTCTCACAGAGTGGAAGGAGACACACAAGCAAAAACACATCTAATCTTGTAGCATGAAGGTCACGACAATCAGCCCCCATTTCATCCTCCTCTCCCCACACAAGCAATCTTACTTTAGGTATTCCCATCTGCTTCTTTCTCTYTTCTTTCCACCATGGGTAGGAAAGCAAATAGTTCATGCCTTCCCATTCCCAGTCTAGAAAAGTGCTGGGGAGAGATTTTATCCTTTCAAGTGCTGAGATTATAGATTATTGGTGAACTAGTCTCTTATTGTGTGAAAACAGGATTTTAAGGCTTGTTATTTATCAATAGATGACCACAAAATTGTTCCGCAAATTAAGGTGCTACAACACACTCTGCTGATGTGTAAAGATCTGGAGGGGGTGAGAAGACAGAGTGCAATGAAGGCTGAACCAAAGAGCAACTCATGCAACCTCGTGGACACCAATATGGAAATCAGTACCTGCRAGGTAAGAATGCAGAGCTGCAAGAACAACACTGATAGGATGTGGAAGTGTTCCCAGAAAACACACAGTTCAGAATTCAGCACTGTATAAATAACCATAACTCTCAAAATTCCCCATGAATTCCATGAATTTGGAGCATCTCCCTGGGGTGGGGGCAGAAATCCAGCGCGTGCTCCACCGCTCACAGTGACACACGCAGCGCCTGACACTGCTTGGACACTTCTGAATCAGCAAGTTTTACAACAGAGTATTATTATTTTTTTTTCCCGGGGTCAATTTTCCCATTGATGCAAGGAGGATTTACACATGCAAGTCCCATTATCATTAACAGGAGTTACCCATATAAATCCCCCTGCTATGATAGGAGAAAAGACCCCATAGTCTGCAGGCATCTCAGTTCTAATGATTACCTGTCAAATGGCCCTCGGCATCATCACCACGAGAAAAAGCAGACGTAGCAGCTTCAGGGCTGAAAATACCTTCCAAAGGAAGGGTAACTAATTGCAGTCATTCAGATAAGGTAATGCAACACCAGAAGAGAAAATGGCATAAAATAGACTGTGAATATTAAGGGTTAATCCAATTAACTACAGTTAAAACGAAAGTACTCATTAAAAAGGAATTCAAACATATCAAAGCACTCCTTAGGAAGAAAAAAAAAGGTGTGAATATTGTATGAACTCCAAGGTGCTTGAAGGATAATACAGCTACTTGTTTAAAAATTCAATTAACCTTATCTTTCTTTAACTTGATTTATTAATAATGCTACAGATAAATTGCCGCTTTTTAAAAAGTCATGTTATCTTTGGAATACATCCTGTGTGACAAGCCTTAAAAATACTTCAAATAAGCCTAACTCTTATTTTGTACRCTTAAATCATTTAATTCAAGAACAAAATGCAGTTCAATGCACGATTTCTATAAAATAAAAAGCCCAACAGTCTGATCTGTTGCGACTGCTAGTGAGCAATTGGGTACTCAAGTATCACAGGAAAAACATTTTAGATTTCCATTCTCCATGTGAACGAGGCATGAAAACAATTTTTAAGCAGCCAACTTAGTGTAAAGCCATAATGAGTAACTTTGAAATTATTCTGTTTTATCTAAAAATCGAACCTGCGAAATTACTAACTTTTTGCCTCACATTCACACAAAGCACTAGGAGCTACCTTGTATGAATTACTGAAATACATAAACAGCCTGGCACGCAAGTAAACTTCAATCTTATTACACAAGTCAATCCTAGGAAGGGAGGCAACAGATAACACMAGGAAAGCTCAGCTAACAAATGATCTGCTTTGCCTGCATAATTGAAAGAAAACACAGAAAGAAACGCACTTTGCAAGCAAACCTTTAATTTTCAAACCATTTTTTTTGTAAACACTGAAGATGAAAAGTTCAACTATGATCCCTGTTGCTGAAAGACAAACATGAACCAGGTCCTCTACTTAGTTCTTTCACAGATTTGTAGATGTTACATACAATTACCATATACTCATGCTTTCCAGTACACATAAAAATTACAGCTAAACAAAGCAGCAGCCCATTTATTACTATATATAAATAACTGCTTAATCACAAGCATCCAAAGATAAAGTTCAACTTGGGAAACATTTCAGCCACGTATTTTTCTGAGGACTTGAATTACATACAGTGATGCCTACCTGCTAAACACACAATGTAAACACAAACATACTGATTTCTGAAATGCAGGCTGGACATTGTGTCATGATGCAAGACAAAAAGCGAAGTTAACGGTGTCAGTTATGCCGTAAAAAAATAAATAACTTGACCTTTATGGCATGAAGCCATTTTAAAGGCAGGCACGTGCACTGGAAAACTGTACAAACACTCAGTTCTATCCCTTTCAGACAGTGCTGAATATTCATTATTTGATGGCCTTTTCATTCACRTATGTTGCTTAAATACTACTCTGGAATTCACTGAAATAGGTAGATACACAGCTGATCTAGGGCATATATGTTTAAAGATAAATCTTACAGTAAAAGCTAAATATTTTTCATTATTGGAATATGCAATTTCAGGCATTGCTCAGAGGAGACCCAAGTCTATCACAGTCATTTACAACAACTTGCTCGTTTTGTAATTCTTCATATAAACTAGGTTTATAAATACTTTAATAAATTTTATTGTATAAATATGCTTTATGATTTACCATTACAAAATGCAAAATTTACAACTATCACACTAATTTTAATCCTATTACCTGGGATCAGTACAAACCTTTGGAGTAATAATCAGCTGAACGACCTCCTTCTTCCTCTCCCCCAGCAATTAATCATCATCTCTATTTCTCAGACACAAAACTTGCAAAAATTAATTACTAGTAGGGGCCCAAATGAATACATGAGGAAAAAAGAAAGAATAAACAGCAGGTATGCTCCACTTATAAACCTTAATTTTGTGGTGAGGACTAACATTAAGTTTAAATAGCGCTGTTTTCCTGACTATGTAAGTCATTAATAAATTAAGTATGATGATGCAATAGTTGGATCTTACTAAGTCACATTTTACATGTAAAATAGTCATGTGAGGAATATCTGTTRGATTCATTGTACTTGCTTCTAAAGYGTAATATCAGGCATTAGTTTCAAAACTGTACAGGGATTTTTTCATGATACAAATCAAACGTGATATCAAGTTTTTTAACTTGAACTGTCCCTGCAGCCTTTACCGTCCATTCCCCAGAATGTGACGCTCTGTGCAGGGCAACTCATGAAGCTCTCATTTAGCTGCTGCATTGGGACAGACCCAAACATGGTTTTGGAAGAACTGGGATAACTTACACTAGAGCACATGCTCACAATTGTGAGTACACTTGTAAAGCAAGTACACATACACTTCCAAACCATAAAACAAACCCAAATTCTTTTGAAAAAAATATTTTACTATTTTCAATAGAAACAATTTTATGAAATTTATCTACTAGCATCCTTGATCTGCTTGATTATGCCTTTATTTAGAATCCAGTGAAACTACCTGAAGAAAGAGTATGTTCAAACTATGAACAATAAGGCTATCACAAATAATACAGCTTTTTTCTCTTTTAAAAAACGTTTTTTTCTCCCTCTCTTTCTCTTACCCTTCCTCTCCTGTTCTTTAGTCTGGGTCAACCTCTTCTTCTACCAAGGAAACTGAGCTACTTCATCCCTCACTTTCTGGCTCACCAGTAGCACCTTCCTCACTGCCTCCTTCCTCAGGTGAAGGTTCAGGTTTCATCTCTGGTGCATTATTTAATCCTGAATCCTCTGATGCAGGCTCCTCTTCATCATACACAGTATCTTCTGGATTTGGTGGTGGTGGGCAGAATTCCTCTGTAGGAAACATTTCCTGGAAAATTGTCTCAGCCTATTCAGGAAAAAAAAAAAACATTTATATATAAACTTTACCTTCAAATGTAATACCTTTGCACTGTTTTATTGATATTTAAGATTAAACTCTGTTCTTTCAAATCAACATTTTAATAGTTTGACAATAGTATTAACATGATATTCATTCCTCACTGTAGTCCTCAGAAAGGCAATCTATTTTTTTAAGTTGCACTACTATGAAAGTCAATATATATTTTTTCAAATGGCCATTCTAAGTTGAAAATGAAGCGGCAATTTTTTGCAAGCTCTTTTAACTAGTTCAAYTACTTAATAGGTTATTTGCACAAGAACACATAGTTTCTATGGCAAACAGAGGCAAAAGTTAAGAGATTCTAGCCCCGCTTTGGGTTTCTACAAAGGCAAAAGCAACTGCCTCTTGATTTTGTCCTTTTAGCAAATCATGCCCTAACGAGGGCCTCTGATGAGAGCTCCCACCTAGGCCAAAATACATTTAATTTGTGTCCACACTATTGCCAGACACTGCACTGAAAGGGGTGGCAGCAGTGTCAGGTAATGACAACTGCAAAGCTTGAGGACGTGATGTGAAATTCCGGACAAGAGGGAATTGTTTTCAGAGTAATACATCATTGAGCAGGTACCCAACAGCTTTCTGMGATGAACTTCACTGCCACCAGCCCTGCATTTGTGTCACCAGCACACAGACGTAGGACTCCATCTTTAACTGCTTAAATGACCCTGTCAAGCTTCAGCTCTACTTTATTTTTCATTCTACTTCCTAAAATTCACTCATTTAAAAAAAACYTAAAATCAGCTGTGCATTAGGATATGCAGAAACAAGTCCAAAATGTTATGTTCTACTTCAAAAGCCTGGTTTTGGAACCATAATMCTGGCAGATAGATTTGGGAAAGGACGTTGTTTATGTGCAAAAATGATGTTTTCTACATAAAGTTAAGCTTCCAATAGTAAGAATGCACTTTTTAGTTAATGTTAATGTCTGCATTTGCCCTTGCAACTCCAAAAATATACATTTAAACAAATATATTTACTAGAGTATTAGTGAAGTACCCTATTTTGCATTAAACAAACGCAGAGCAGACAAACATTTAAAACATTGTTCCGGACAAATGATTCTGCCTCCAATTAGYCAATGAATATCCAGTCCAAAAACGGTCAAGAATTACGAGGCTGAATATGGATAGAATTTCTCAGTATACGATGTAGGACATCCTGACATTGATTATAATTGAACAATTTAATGGTATATAGTGCTTTCAGGTCTACCAATTTTTTAAGTTAACCTTATCCAATTGAAGTCATGCAGAATAACCAATAATAATTTAACAGCTCCTTCACTATAACTCTGATCTTACTGTAAGTAATTAATTTAGTAAATAGTTTCTTCAATATTTTATTTTTAAGGGTACCAGGCATGCAGAATACCTACACAAATATTCCTGTTTAATAACTGTTGAAGTACTCAAATAAAGCTACCATGTCTTCTATAATGTTTTACCCTACCATGAGTATCTTGATGGCACATATAGGAGCTGAATGGGTTTTCACAGTAACTTTGTTTATAGAGAATAYAATCAAACCAACAGTATCACGAGATACAATTCTGTAAAGGTGAAACCTTTACAGATTACAAATATGAGAAGGGACAAATACTGACACAGCATTTTAGTACTTCATTTTGTGCCCTCGAAATTTCAAATATTTCAGGTAACATTCCATATTATTTTAGTGCAAGATAAATCATGTCGTGTTGCATCAGTGGAAAAATGAAGACACTAGGAGCAAGATTTTTACTTGATCCATATCTAGAGGATTTCAGGAAATCGTAACTAGCACTTTGCACTTCATTTAGACTGTCTTCAGGGCAAGTAAATAGAGATGTCAAAAATAAAATCAGTATTATACTAGAAATTTAACACTAAATTGAAGAAGTCACTTGTACATTGAGTTTTAGATGAATAAACATCTGTAAAAAATGTGGTATTGTCACTTCTTGATTATAATGATTGATAATAATTTATCAATATAGTCAGAGATCATGACATACAGAAATTAGCAAAACTAATGGTCATGTATATTTAAATCATGAAAGCATCTCTTAACACAATAAACCACTTGGAGAACAGAGAATAATTGATTCCATTTCTGACATTAGAATAACGCACATTCACTGCAATTCTTAACATGTTCTGATCTGTAGCTCTGCAAGAATCTGGTGTGGAGATGTTGATCTCCTGGCTTGGATGATGAGGGTGCTTTGCAGAGGTGCACGGGGGTGCCTCCCTCCTCCAGTCGTCTGGAAGGACACGCTTTGCACTACAATATTTTTCACCCTAATTAGTATTTGTTTCAAAGTTTAAAACAGATTCAAAAAATGCAACTTTTACTCTTTCTGAAAGCCAGTCTGCCAGGCTCTTGATCCTTTTTTCTGAGATCTGTTCAATTCACATCTACCTCGCTGACAGGTACAGTGTCCAACACAGCTTGGAACCATTACTTGTATTGATAAGAGGAGGGCTGTTAGGTGAAAATAAAGCTGAATGCTAGAAGAGATGGCTGATTATAGGATTAGAAAGAGGATGATTTAAATAAGATATACTATGACTATTTACTGCACAAACTATATTTGATCTCTAAATCTGCTTTTACATGCACTGAAATAGTTATTAATTTGCAGTTTAAATGGTAACAGTTAAAGAAAAAAGAAAAAAATAATAATATTAAAAAATCATCTACAAGTTTAAACTGCTAACCACAGTAATTGTCCAGCATTATTTTTATCTTTATAATCCTTTATCCTCCTGGGAGGGAAGTTATTGCCTTGTAAAGCAAAAGGAAGGATACTATTAGCCCTTAATTATACTGGTCTGACCCTATAGTTCAGGCTGTATCAGCCTTTTCACTTTAAAATCTTATGTTAAGAAGTTTATGATATAGCCATAAAACCCTCTCCACCCCACACCTAGTTATAAGTCAGTGAGCACCTTTTCTGAAGAGTGTAGTTAAAAATAATAATAAAAAAAGCTTTAAAAATTACCAGAGCCAGTGAATCCTATGAAGCAGTAGAAGTGTTGTCACGTGTCAGCTCTAGAAGCACCCGGACACGAGTGCCAGGCACTCATGAGAAGCTCGTGGGAAGCTGTGAATTTCTGTGCACCTACCCTGRCCAACCTGGGCTTCCTCAACATCTCCCTCTGGACAACAGAGCAGAAGGTTCTTTCACCCTCTAGTTTTGCCTAGGAAGGTTTTCACTYTTCACTTCTGATTTCAAAGCACTTGCTGCTGGTTTTAAATGCGCACTGGCAGGTGTTTTCTCCATGCTAATTGTCCTTTTCTAAAGTTTATTCCATTCTCAGTCCCACTGTCATGGGCCTTCCTTGCTATGTAACGATTCTGTACGTCCAGCCACAAAGTAGCAATTAAAAAAAAATTAAATTAAAATTTTAATATTAAGTTAAAATATTACTTTGGAATATTAGAAGTTTGCATAAAACAGGATTATGCAAAGCAAAAGAAAGACTACAATGGACCTCCCTAGGCCTCTGAAATGAAACCTCTACCAGTTAACCAGCAAGCCAGTTAAGCTGCCAACCTGTCTGACGGCGCAGTCGTTTCCTAAGGCAGAGTCAGGTCCCGAGCAGACATACACATTGGAAGGCAACCTGTCGTACGAGCTTCTGTCGATGCCCGAGGAATCTCTCATGTTGAAGTACACAGCCCAGAGCACTCTGGGTTTTTCCACTTCTTCATTTTCAGTCTCTARAAAGGAAAAAAATATTTCCAATAATCCATGTTCATGTATAATAAAAATATAAAGAATTTTGTACATTAAAAGTCAATTTGTTGGCATGAAACTACTGTAATAAGAGAATAAATACGTATTTTCAAAAGGCCTACTATGGTATACTAATAGCACTTTTAATACAATTATTTTTATAAGGTTTCCAGAAAGGAATTTTGTAATTAACCACTTGACAATGTAATGTCTTGTTTGCTTATTACAAATTTTGACTTACTTATTTTGGCCAAAAAAAGTCCTTGAATGCATGCTTCTCTATTTTTTTCCACTTAAAAGGTAGAATTGGTAAATTAATGAAATTATCCATATCAATATATACCTTATCCTTTTTTTTTGAGGGGCTTTCAATCATGTTTGCTTTCCATTGTTTTCCATTCCAACGGCCAGTACGTAAATTCTATTTGTTCTGTACACAAGATGCTAAGAAAGAATCAGTTCCACCACAACAAGCACTAAGAAGCTGGTGTAAACAAAACACACAGTACTCGCTATGTGTAGGAAGTGACCATACACTAAGCCTGCTTCTCCCTCAGCTCTACCTTCTCGGAGTTACTTGGTGCTTTACATGTAATTCCTCTGCACGCAGTCAGGAAAACCCCCGAGAAGATGAAGGTCACATCTGAGTGGTGCAGAACGCACCACAGGAACGCCCCACATTCATCCCGAGCTTAATACATACTATTTGTTTGGCAAACTGCTGTCCCCTTTCTGGTATTTCAGTTTCCCTAAATTAAGTGATGCTTGTAATAGCCCTTGCAAGGTTTACTTCTGTCCAAGGAAGAACCTTCTAGATAACAATGACATTCAGAGTAGTATTTTAAAATACATGAATTAGAGGAAAAAAAAAGATAAATCTACACTACTCTTTCAATATCTTCTTGTAACTGTCAAATACTTTAAAAAAAATAGGTGCTAACCATACTGAACAATTTGAAATATAAATTAAATTCATCGGCCTGTGAAAGCCTGAGCCTTACTACAGGGCAAGATGCTCTTTAATATATTTAAAAGTTCACATTGCTCATAAAAGTTACTTCTCCCTCATTTAGGCAGGAAAATGAATGGAGTCCTCTTCTCCAGGTGACTTTGCCTCTTTGACCTGCCATGGCCCAGTGCTCACTTTATCTGGTGATTCATTTTCAATAACTCCAACAGTATTTGTTCTGACATTTTAATTAAAATACGACCACTACCTCATCCTGATGATAAAAAGGCCTATGTGTCAGTGAAAACTAGCTTTTCAGTGCCTCAGTGCACCTGAGGACCCCTCTGATCACAGAGTTTCTACAGAAGAATTTCAGTCAGGTTCTAAACAATACATCATTTCAAACCTGGATCACTTTAAACATTAAGATTAATGCTACCCTCCCCCCCATGACTAGAAGACACTAAACCACAGGCTAACCTTTTCTTCACCATTTGTACAAACACATAGTAGTATCATCAAAACGTGAGCTATATATTAAATATTAAAAATTGGAAATTTGTCGACTTTAACAAATATTAAAATCAGAAATGACTGCAGGTTTTCAACCTGATGATTTTTTCTTATATTTACAAGTCCTTCTTATGCCTAAGTATTTGTTTTGTATGAGCATTCTATATTCAAAAAGGCTTCATCAGAGTGAGAATGCAGCAACAGCTTCTAGGGTCACATTACCTTACATGGGTTTCTTCTAAAAATATGATTGAATTCAATCCAATTTGATTGAATCAAATTTCAAACATTCCTGTTAAATTAACTGGAATTATCTCAGGGTGAATTTTTTTCTTAATAAAAATTATTTTGTCAATAGTTGCTTTTCCCTCAGACTATGGAATCGTTCATCTTGAGGCCAAATCTCATGAAAGCAGGTGGCAAAGTTTCCTTGAAAATAGGGCCAAAACCTCATTTCTGGAGAAAAGACTGACTAGAAATCTCTCTGCCTTTCCAGAAACACCCTAGCATGCAATTCCTTCACACTTCAAGTTCTTTAAGCAAAATCCACATAACTTCAAGTAAAAATAGTAAACAAAAAAGCATGTGAAGAGAAAGACTAAAAGAATGAGTAAAAGAATCAGAACAGAAAAAGGCAAAAGAAAACTAAGCTTGCAGCCTTGAGCACATTTGGCAGCTGGGGAAAAGCATTTCATGAGCTTTGGGGATTTTAAGATCTGCATACAAGTGACAGACACCACGAAAAACAGGACAGGGCAAGAAGTAACAGGTGCACAGATTTTTGGTTTTACKGCATCTTTCAAAGACACAGGTACCAAGAAGCATATACAGAATCACAGAATCCTTAGGGTTGGAAAGGACCTTTAGAGATCATCTAGTCCAACCCCCCCGCACACCCCCAAGTCCTAGACACTTATTCCCATGGTGCYGGCATGCTGAAGTTAAACCAGAGCTGAAGAAGACCAGGTCATGAAACAGAGAATATTGACACCATCTACGCACTGTCCCCCTCTCAACCCAATTCCTGTGAAACACTGAGCTCTAAATAGCAGCTCACAACCTGTGTTGATTCTGATGACAGATTCATATGTTCAGCAGCAGCTACTTTAGTTAAAAGGCTAAATTATTTTACACAAGATAACCTCTTAATATTTAACTTTTTTATTTTTACCTTCTTCTGATTCAGTGTTTAGACTGAATAACTTCTGCACGACAGGCTCTAAATCTTCTCTAGCAGTTTTACTTGATGGACAGGTTAAATGAACTAAATCTGTTAAAAGTGAACAGAAATTAATTACAATCACCACTACAGAGATATATAAATATCATTTACATTTTTTGAAAGACACAGCAGGTTTTTAGAAATCACTGTTCTTCATATAAAATACTTCCTTTATGCCAGAGAAGTAAGGTTATTAGGAAAATCCTGTGTGTGTGTGCGTGTGTGCACGCGTGCAAGCATATTTAGGTCTTAATATATACATAGCATATATATAGCATATATATATACCCGATTTTAATGCATATGTACATTTTTAGTTATGAAAATTTTCTTGATATCATTACGAGTCTGCACTGACCTCAGRAGCTGCAGGCTGAAGTGCTTTAAAGCAGGTAGTAGCTATTAGCTCGTTTGTGCACTTAACATGTTAAGTGCAACTGCGAAATAATAACTTAATATAAAATTACTTTTAAAAACATGAACCCCTATGCAAGAAGGACAATCATTCTAAGAGAAGCCATTCATTCCTTTTCAGAGAAGTTCTGTGGTCAACACATGAACTGAACAACTATCCTCCATATAAATCGGTAAAAATGGAACTAAAATTTAACATCAGTAGTGCAGACAGAGTATTATTCTCAGAATAGGTGTCTCCAGATGACAGGACCACATTGAAAAAAGCAGCAGCAGAAAATCAGTTGAACATCTCCCACCAAGAACCTTCTTCATCACTGCCTTGGTAGCCGAATAGAGCACTAATGTCCTAAACTCAAAGATATCCTCACTTCATCACCTGGACTCTTTGGTCACRTCTGCACGATGCCCAGTTTAAGCCTGGGTGGACAGGACTAAGCAGGAAGGCATCTTTCTCCACTAAAGAAAGAAGTCTAAGCAACACTTGTACTGGGCTAAAGAAGAAGTAGGAGATGAAATGAATAAATGCAGATTTCAAGTTACAGCTCAAGTGGGTTCATTCATTTACCTTCTCACGGGAAGGAAAAACAGAGTGAAATTAGGTTGCATTGGCTAKTAAGTATGATGTCTGGAAAACTGATTTCAAGTACCTGGTTTTGGGAAGTGCTCTGTACACAGCAGAAACCAAAGACTACAGCARTCTCACACTGAAAAATGATGATGCTGGAAGATTTTGGAAAGTAAGAACAGATTTATGCATCTGGATAACAAATCAACCTTACTGCATGGGCAAACCATTATTAATTACCCCTGTTTTCGTATTTGTGACAAAGTTCACAATTTTTCTCAAATAATACCAGTTTCACATTTAGATTTCTCATTCACACACTTGTTTTCATGGAAATAAAGTGGCAGCATGTTTCCATGGGGAATCTTCTTTAGCAACTTCATTTGTTACATTTTTCAAATAGATAATCATCGGCTATAACTCTATTCTGTCCCGCTGGTCTCTTCAGATAGAAAGGCAGCTACTCTGCTGCATCACCCCATCTGATTTTGCATCTATTCAGATATTTAAAATTCTCATGTTAAAGCTGGTAGTAATGAAAGTCTCCCCGTAACCTTAACTAAATGTTTACTACTTCAAACACTGTCTGCTTTTTCATTWAAAAAAAATCTATAAATCACTAAATTCACATCATTTACTTCCTATAAAATCTTTTTTTATTATCTTTAAGGTTATGGCTATGAGTCACAGTCATCAGTATATATTTTGATTATATTTGATTTACTCAGGTATAACTGCATTAGTTACAGTGGTTGCCAACATTTGTCTTCAAGTAATTCTTCTAGCAGGAAGAGCGATGAGTTTAGTTCATGATTTCATCATTACAGTCTCAATTTTTAGGGCAAGTGAAGGAGTTTGGTTCCACTCAACTGGCAGTACAGATTATCTGCCTGTCATTTATGCAGTGTGATCAAAGAGTAGATGTATTTGTATACTTATCTTAAATAATTGTTTGAAGGAGAAATCAGTCAGGTTAAAACCCACTTACAGATAATGATGTAAAAGTTTAAAAAAAAAAAAAAAAAAAAGGAGAGAGAAGAGACGGAGAGAGAGGGAATTTAACTCTACCTATAAGACAACATAGCAAATTCCCTTCCAAAATTAATGTTGTGTAAGGAAAACAGTAAATAGCATCAAAAAAATAATTTTTCAGCATCACAGAAATACTCACGAAATTAATCATTCATAAAATTGCTGTAACTTGAATGTTTTCTTAGTTTTACTTTCTGCTACACAGATTTTGTGGCAGATTAGAGAAACTAAATCTACCTATTAACAGTATGCTTGTTTTTCCACTTGCAATTATTAAACAAATAAGATTTCTAAATTACTTTTTATTATTTAAAGTAAGCAGGAAGTACAACTTCGAATGACTTGATCGCGTATTTTCACGATTCTTTCACAAGAGAAGACCTGAGCTGAAGCCTAAGTAATAATAAATAAATCGCTTTTATATAAATATATATTTTAAGAAGTGTTAAGTCAGGTAACATCTAATTCTATTATCCCAAAGGAAAGACCAGACAACTGCTACAGARTAAAGACAATGGACTATTGGACCATGATAACTGTGCAACAAAGGAATAACAAAGACAAATTTTGATTTTTTGTTTCAGAGTTGATATAATCAAAGAAAAAATATAGTTAAGAACACAAAAGATGCCTGTACTTACAGGAATCCTTCATGCACGTCATGGTTGAGGAACACAACTCAATGATGCAGACAGCTGGCTGCCCACTATCCATTGGAGGCATTCTCAGAATGGAAACCTAACAAGCAGGAAGAGAAAAKAAAATTCTGAATATCAATCTAACTTAAAAAGCAGTTTAATTTATACTGTATTATCTTGTACTGAAATATTGCAAACTACAACTCTATTAAACAATATTATCAGTTCAAGAATTGGTTTGGTATCGCCTTCAAAAGGTAAAAAATTTAAAACACCACCGGTAAGCATTAGATCCACAGCCACAGAACATCTGGAATAGATAACAGGCTTATGCTGTCCAGGTACATGAACATACACATTGACTTGTGAGGTTACTTAAAAACAATTTTGTTACAAAAAACAAGTTTTTGGATTTCTCCACCATCGCAAAAATAAAAAATCATGTGAATCTCACAAATAATTGTCAAGAATTTCATACTTAGATATGTTTATCACCACAAACGTGTATTTGCTCAGTCTCCAAAGTTCAACTATCCCATAAATATGCATTTACACAAGAGATGAAGAATGCTACAGAGTAGTTATTGTCAACTCAGTGACATACAAACCATGATAGATGCTTCTTTAATGTCAAAACAGAGTAACATGAARGCTAAAACAACCAACAGAATTCTGAGTAGAAATGAAATATAACTATTGGTTAGACCTATTGGTACAATCTTGTTTTCTGGTTCATTGGTAACAGAATCTATAGGATTAATCCTGCAGAGCTGGCAGATCGAAAATTTCTAAATAAGCAAGGCCACCTTTGTTAGGAAGGTTGGCAGCACCCAAATGGCCAGAGAACATCACACTGCAGCCTTCTCAAAATGATGATTCTCAGCTTTTAATCTGATAACTGGTTTTCATCCTAGGTCACAGAGCATTTAGGAACTGCTGTTGGCAAGTGTTTGCCAAATRGTTTTTGAGCTCTGGGTAAGAACATGGTTAGGTGAGACCAGAGGGTGCACTTTCATGTGGGACTGCTGGTAACAAGACATGGGAAGAAGAGACTTCTCTGCCATCTATAGTTTTATTTTGTAGGTCCTAATTTAAAACGTAAGAGCACATGACATGACAAATTGAACAGAAGAAACACTTCTGACACTGATCACAAAACCTAATTTTAAAGGGTACTTAAGACTGCCAAACCAGAAGTATTTAAGGGATCCAAATGCATATGCATTGAATTTTAGGCTATAAATGTGAATCCTAAAATGAACTTTGAACAAAGCTYAGACAACATAACTGATTAACAGTTAACAGCCAGAGTATTAATGGCAGGAAATTTAACAGACAAGTAAAACAGCAGTTTAGCAATTGTGTTAATTAGTATAGTCAACCAACAAACGGGGAAACCTAAGCCATTTAACTAGTAGATAAGGTTTTATAGAGACTAATGAGATAGACAACTGTTGGTASAGCAAGCTGGCCAAAAAGCTGAATTCATGCAGGTACAGAAGTATGAATTAACTCYAGCAATTAACTATTAATACATGCAATTCATAAGAGGTAAGTGATATGAACAGAGGTAAGTGATATAAAACACATATATACCTGCTGCTCTGAATCTGTTTTTAGTATGGACTGATCTGTAATGAGTATTGCTCTGGAGATCTGCCTRCAATTAAATAAAACAATTATGACATTTCACAAAAACAGAAAAAACAGCAATTTGGATTCAGTGTCTTGCCAATACACATCTAAACATAATGTGTCAGTGTAAAATATACAATCTTTATTGCTATGACTATGTACACATGGCATTGAGCATACACTGTAAGTGGGGTCATTTGCCTTTTGCTGTATTAGGCCCATGTCTSGAACATTAATGTAGTATTTTCAAAGACCAGGAAAGATGACCAAAAAAAAGTTGGTGCCATTTTGTAAATCAGCTTGAACATCCTTCTGATTTAGAAGATTGTTTTATTTATTTCATAAAGATTAACAGCAGAAGACTAACATGAGAAGACTCATGTTAGAAGGCTTTTTAACTTCCAAAGAGCACAGGACACTTTGAACTTTGTGAAAACAAACCACAGCAAAGTTCATGAATTAAAGTGTCAAATCCTCTATTTCCTACGATTATTTCTTTGCTGCCTTTGACACTACTCTTCTGTCCTCATCTCATCTGCAACATTTTGAAGATAAGGCAGTATATGCTCAGGCTCTACTGAAATGCTTTAGGCCAGGTGTCAGAAGGAATAGGGGGAAGAGAGAGAGAGCACGTGTGTGAAAAAGCAGTGACTGTTAATACACTTCTAAATCTGAACAATTCAAAGAGAAAGCAGTGCAACAGGCATCTCCATGTCCCAAGGACATTCCAGCATATATGAAATCCCCGATGTCGGGTATTCTCATGAGGAAAWGGGGAATATAACTTAAATATAGAGACACACGCAGCATGTTCTCAAGTATATACAAGAAATTTTATGCATAGAACTAAGTTGGTTGCACTAAAGATATAGCAGAAGGAAATAATCTTTACACTGTAGTATTTTAAGACATGTTTATTATGTTATTACCTACCTGTAACACACATTTTTACATGTGCTCTCTGAAAGGAAACTATCTTCCACAACAAAATACTTGGCACTTATTCTTTGTCCAAAATGATCTAGGACAGCTTTGCATCTGTTGAAAAATACTCAAAGTAAGAAAAAAGGAAATCATCCATAAAAATATTCATAATTTCATTAAGTTTTTGAAATTAAATGACAGAGAAAAACATTTAAATCTGTCACATAAGTCGCTATAAATATTTAACATGCAAGTCSCAAAATACTTGAAAGAAAAGAAAATAAGAGAAAAGAGGTGAAACTAATTTGAACTGTATGAAAAACATCTGGTATAAATGAAACAAAAGTTGCACATAGGTATTAAAAAAACCTGTACTGCCAAGTCTCATATGTTTGCTATTTAAAAATTCCTATAGTTTCAGAGGCGACCTATTTAACTATTATAAACTTAGCTTTTACTGTTGTAAGTGCAAACAAGTAAGTAGATTACAATTTATTTACCACTTGTCTRTATCTTCAGAATCTTTAGGACTTAATATTGAGCTGTAAAAGATATCTTTAGGCTTTCTATAATATCAGAACATTTATTGTAAAAATAAATTACAGCAGGAAAACTAAAGCAGATCAGCTTTGCCTTTCACCTGATGTATATTTCAATTGCTTTAATAAACAAGATTCAAAATCGTAAATCCTCTCTCCCACTTTTGAGGATGCCCAACATGGAGATTCCTTACAGATTTAAACATATTTTTAAACTTCACCACAGATTTAAACATATTTTTATATTTTACCACAGCATCACATTATTCTTCTACAGTTAACAGCTGACAGGCAAATTACGCCTCAAAAATATATATTTCTGTAACTTCAGGTTATTCATCAGCATCCACGAACAGAGTAGTGAAACAGAGAGGATTCAAATCAGAACTAAACAAACACAACCAATTGCCACTTGCTATTGTGGGTTTAGAAGATCTCCTTTCAGTGTGATGTGAGAATTGAAAAAGGGCTAGATGTAAGGCCTGTATTTTGCACTTAAGCAGCTTTAGCTTGTTATAATACTAACTACTCTTAGTGTTTTCCCAGCCATGTGTATTCTCTGTACCAGTAGACTGGAAGTCCAGAGGCCCCGCAAGGCAACAGGAAGGCCTAGCGGTCGCGCTGGTTTAACCGCGCGCGGAGCCCCGGGCACAGCCGTGGAGCAGCCTTCTCTTCAGCACGTGCTTCACCTGCTACTTCCAGAAGTTTTGCTTTCTTACCGCTAGCCTAACTGATGGTACTCACAAGCACTCATTTAAATCCTGCAAATAAACAAGGAAGTCAAGCTGGTTCCGTTCATATTTAATTATAACCTTTTTATTGTTTATGAAACAGGTTCCCCTGTTGTCCCCCCCGCTGTCATTCGGTGCGGGGGAAAGGTTCATTAAATGTCATGTTGCATCACTTACAGATAGCAAAAAGCAACTGCACATTCTTATTTTCCTGCTAAGTGCTGTTTGCTCTCCTCTGCTCAAGAATACCTAGCAGCTTAGATGTTTGCTAAAATTATAGGCAAAAAAAAAAGAGATTGTGTGTTCAATACCAGTCTCCACTTCATAGGATGATGCTGTGAAAATTTCTTTCAAGAACTGCTTCCAAATACAGAAAACACTTATGCACTGACATTATCAGGTCTCTGTCATCTGATATGTGTTGGGACAATGAATCATACAGAACCCTCCATTGACCTTCTTTCAATGTGTCTAGATAAAAGGATGAAAATTAGAATCCATCTCCTTGCAGTGCCACGAGTTATAAATGTACTTTATAGGGCTCATTATCCAAACTAATGGACTAAGGGCGACATCCTTGAAATGGACTTACCAGCACTGACAAAGCCAGTATGCAATATTTCAAGAAAGATATGTAAATTACTGTGTGTTTGCTATATCTTTTTATTACAGATATATAAAATTTCCATTTATCACATCTTTTCCATTTTTGAGGCAGAATTATGTGATTGGAAACATATTTAAACTGCATTCAACATAAAACGCCCACCAGTCTTTTCAGTGCAATCCGTGTAAATTAAAATACCTTAGATTCATTAGATAAGACAAAACAAAATAATCATGAAGACGTTAAATTTGGTTTTTTTCTCAAGCAAAGCAACATGATTTATTATTTTTTTCTAACTGGGTATCAGAGTTCGATCAGCAGTGCGGAATGTTTGGACAGACCTAATCTGATGTTGTCAGGAAAAAAAATTGGATTACTAAAAACCTTAAAAGAAGTTATGTTTAAAAATTCCCATGCTTTCATACCACCTACCCCCAAATGCATATACTATAAAAGGACTACAGTAACATAATAAAAACAACTGTATATTTGGGACAAATTCTACTGCTCTTTCCTTTTTCAATTTCTGCTGTTCTGAGATTGAAACGTTTGTAATCAACAACGTAAGCTGTCCCTGCAACTACAGGTGGTCTGTGACAGAGACATGGATTTGTCTATTATCCATTACTATTAATGGACTGTTGACTCTAACGCTGGGTAACTCATAAATATCCTCATTAACGATTTGATAGCTGATCTTTAGCAGGCTAAAGAGCAAAGCTCAGAGTCAAGAGGAAATTAGAACTAGCATGAGGAGGGGGGAACGCACAGGAAGTAAAAGAGGTAACAAAAAAAAAAAGGAAGGGAAAGAAACTAGTGTTGATCTTAACAACAAACGGTGGCTTGCCAGGTTGCACTGTAGTGAAGGACTTTCAGGAAGAAGTAAAAAGGTGTATTATGTTCCAGTGAGAGGAAAYGGGCAGAAAACAAAGATAAAATACTAGGTAAGGAATACGCTGCTCGCTCCATGTTTGTGCCCTGCACTGCAGTGTCGCAGCAAGGTAAACGGGTCACAGCACGGGGCAGGTGACCGGACAGGGGAACCCGCATGGCTTGTGCGGCCTCTCATTCAGCAACAGGTACTGGCGTTGCTGGAAAAAACAATGCTTTCTGGAATAAAAAGATTCTGGTAAACACGTTTATGGTTTTGAGTGAAAAGAGCACCAGGGAGCCATTAAATCAGCCTAGCAGGTTAAACAGAGTCTTGAAATCTGCTGGGGTCTCTGACAAACTTRTTACACAGAAAGGAGAAAAAAAGATGACTTCTAGCATCCTGCAAAGGGGCAAAATTAACCAAAAATAAGGGGAACCAGCATCACTGATCAGCAAGAACTCCACAGAGCAATGTTTGGGAGTTGACTCAAACTGCAACTCAGTTTTCTCCCTCTGAAATAACCAGTAATTATTCAAACAACACTGGAAAACAAGGTTCCCTAGTATGAGTTCAAACTTTATTATTAATAATACAGTTTATGAAAGAGACATAGTTTTATCTGCATAGGAACATGCACTTGGGAACACATAAGATGAAATATTAYCACCCTTGCATCTCAAGGGCTAAAACTGAGCTATGAACTTTAAAACTTCAAACCACTAATGGAAAAATAAACTGTTTTTTAGAGAATTAAGAAAAACGGATGCTACTTGACTGTGTCATGACAAATTTGGCTCTAAATACCATGCTAAAAGCATCAATTGTGGAGTGCAGCTGGAAAGTCTTCTAGTAAAACATTATCCTAAAGCCTTATTACATATTCCATAGCTTAATTTTCAAAATTTTCAACATACTATTTTGAAGTTTTCAATCACAAAAACTAAGCTGCAAAGCCTCTAAGAGGAGCAGAAAGCGTTATCACAGCTATTAGACTAATAACTGTTAGAAACCATGCAACAGAAACACGATGATCTTCAGAGGTGTGAAAAACGCCAGTATGGGCAAAACTTTGCGTTGAGTTTCTTAGCTCAAATTTAAACCTGCCTATAGGCCTCATATTGTTGTAGAATTTATCCTACGATAAGAGGGCAGCATAGTTTATGACAACAATCTACCCAAAAACTCATTAAAGTCTTTTCTCTTGGAGTGACATGCATTATCAGCAAAGATTAATCTGATGAGTCTTTAGGTGAGCTCCATTTTTAAAAATGCAATAACAGAGGGCTTTGTTGTCAGCTGATGAAAATCAATTAGAGTAGGTAAGGCCACAAGGAAAACTAACATCACTCATCACCAGCCCCCCGGCAGCTGAAATGATTTGTCTTCCAAGCTTCGGTGATCAGGAGCTGTAGTAATATCACAGGGAAATTAATTTAGTTTCTATATTCTAGACCCACTTTCCTTGTTCTGGAGGACCTAAACACAAATTACTTTTAATCAAGGTTGATGTGTTATTAATACCAAGGAGGATCTTTGAAAAATCATTTTTTTTAAATTGACTTAATGCATTTTTCATCTGTATTTTGTAATATAGGCAGAAGGTTACTTATATTTCCCTTACCGTCCAGATTCTTTGTCCACTACAAGGCACTGCACAGAATGGCGAAGACAGTAGATACCCCCAAACACAGCACACATCCTGGAACATATTAGAAAAATAAAAGTTACTCTTGCCATAACTGGCTGTAAGCAATCTGAGTATTGGCAATAAGCACGGCAAAGTACTCTACACCTTGTATATTTTTAATAACGTCTTCATCTCTGCAACAGACAATCAAAATAAACCACGCCAAAAGAGTTCTGTAAAGGATCTTTTGTTAATATTTTTTTATTAGCATTTATCATAGTCCCCTAAATAGCTGGGCACTCATTTCTCTGAGATGTCAGAGACTCCCAAGTCATTCAGTCCTGAAGTGCATTAATTTACTCACAGAAGGCTCACAGAGCATCTGCCAACCAAATRACATTTTACATATGGCAGAATAAGGATTAAAACAAAACACACACACATGAAATTCCTAATACATAATCTCCAAATTTCTTTCTTTACCATTATATCGCACAGTAATTTTGCTGGCCATAAGCAGCTTAAACTTTGGGAGCACTGGCTCCAGGGCCCTATTAAACGCAGGCTTTTTGTGATCCTAAAGGTGACTTCTGCCCAGTACGAACACCTCCATGTTCCGCTTATGATCGGACACTACTGCTCAAGATTATGTGTTCTGTCATAATGATAAGAAATCTCCTAAATAGAAGAGTGAAACAGATTCTCAGGTCAACTGCCTAAAAACTACATAACTTTATGCTATTCAATATTAAATTCTCCTCTCACACACAAATCCTAAAATGTAAGACAGGTGAAGAAAATTAAAGTGTCCAAAAGTTAGGCAAATATCACAACTCCTCTGCTTTTAAACTACAGGGAGACTCAAAGCAACTAAATTATGACATTTAAATATGAGGAAGCACATATTTTTACATATGTTTTTACACCAGCTTTTACAAATACTTTCAATAAAAGATGCTGCAATGTCTTTTTAGCAAGAAGTTCTGTAACAATCTGGTTACAATCCCCTCCTTTCTCTTYGATGCAGTGCAGTAGATAAGGTCGGGAATCACAGTGCCATCGCAGGGGTCAACACATGAAGCTCGGTGCTGGACAGCCAGTGGAGCAGATCCATAGGAAGAGAGCATTTTGTGAACACAAGGTTCCCAGGGATGGCTTGGTGCATGGGGCATCACCTCCCATGCCTCCTGCCTAATAACATGGGGCTCCTGCTCMCAGACATGGACTCACCTGCTGTTTCACTGGTGACTTCTTACAACTGTTCAAAAAACTTACCAGAAAAACCCCTGAAATTTTCCACTCTATTACACTCTAGTACAGTGTACAGGGTTTTGAATGACAAAGTTTCAAAAAGGACTTACAGCCCTACTGAAGTTTTCATCATTGTGAAAGATTTTTGTTGTCACGGCAAGCCACATGACTTTGATAACACCTCACATGACTAGCCCCAAATCTTTAATTTTCTATCATCTGAGAAAATGCACTCACCTTAGAGTGATCATATAACACCCTGCACATTAAGATTTGCCCAGTTCCTTACAATACCATTTCAGGGTTGGACCATTTTGAGTGATCAGACTTGGGAATCTCTAATTTTTCTTAAGACTCTCCAGTGGTTCATTCAGATCAATTAGCTATCACTCACCTATTCCTGTGCATTTGGAGAGGTAGGAAAAGAACAAATAAATTGTGTATTTGTACAAACTGCCTATCTTTAGCCTGAGAGAGAACTGTTCCAGAAACAACTGTCAAATGCTACTCTGATATCTGATGCTTCTTCCTTTGCCCTATGTATTAACTATGAATTATGCCACCTCTGCTCTTTTTTTGTGATCCTTACTATTCAAAAGTATTGTCCAAAATTTACGGGCAGTATTTCAGGCTTTCCGTGCAATATTTGATGATGATTCTGAGATATCATCTCAGACCATCTGAAAGACTGGCTGTGTACATTGGCTGTGTACACAGGGTGAGTGTCCTGCACTACCAACAGGACAAATGAACTGAAGAACATTCACATTCACATCTTCTTCACTCTCTACATCTTGTATGAAYGTATCAGGCAATAATTTCACATTTACAGCCTTCAGAGATGATGAAAAAAACCCTTTAATTCTGCAAACTTATAATTCCTATAATGGATTCTGTATTGGAATTCAAAAATTGAGTTCAAAGACACTAACACTGCAGCACCCTTTAGAGCTTGTGAATGATGAGGCAAGTAGCTAAGTGTGCTACCAGGTGACATCTCACCTCTGCACCAGACTGTAGCCATCTAAGGACAGATCAACAGCATCACTTACTGGGCAAAGGAGGAGATCCAGTCCCCATAAACATCGGCTTCTACCCATGCAAAACTAAGGAGAAGATACACCATGTTGCATCCCACCTTTGGCAGGTCAGAGGTTGGCTGCASAACACGATCCGAAAGTTAAATATCCACCCAGGAATACTCTACAGCCTTTCAACTTACCATCTGTAATGCTSCAATTGGTGGCTTCTAACCTAATAAATCACGTGTTAAGATCTGGCAGACCAACTCCAGTTACATATCTCATGTTACTGAGCATAAAAAATTAGGACTATTAACCTAACGATAAGCAAGATTCTTTTGTTAAAAAATGTATAAATTATATGTTTCCTTTAACTTCAACCACATTCAAGGGATTTTTGATAAATGCACTTTATTTATCCAGCGTGCTTTGAAAGAACTTTGCTGCTTGGCTGCGCAAAAATGTGAATGACTAATTTTCAAGAGTGGTCTGCTACCCAGCGGAGGGAGGCATGACCTGTTTTCATATTAGGCCAGCAAAAACCTTTTCTTTCTAAATGAAAATARAAAGGAATTTTGATTGCATTATGTTAAACAATTACAAAGAGCTGAAACACCTATTAAAACAGCCTAGCATGAAAAAGACTTCATTTAGAAGAACTTGCCAAAATTATTTAAATACAGAAATTGAAATTTTAAACTAAATAGCATCCCAATAATTTATGGTAAATTAAAATCATTGTGCTAACATTAGCTCCATACAATAGCTTATTCAAGAAGATTTGACTGTCCTGGAAGTACAAGGGAACTCTTTGATACTATTAACCCTAAATGACAGACGTTTAAACTGATATTACTCTAATTAACTGGCTTCTGCCTTCACCAATAATTCAGCTTTTGTTGAAAGATAGCAACAACACTGTACTCAGCTTCAACTTCACCCTGCCGACATCAAATCATATTACAGCTAAATTAACAGTTGTGAAAATTTTTGGCCTGGTAGCCCTCCATCATACACAGCCTTTAAATGCCATTTCAGTTCCTATCAAGGCAGGAATCAGCAGTTGTAATTTTTAATACAGCTGCGAAACAATAGGACATATTAAGAGCTGGATTTTTGACAGCAGATTCATGATGATTTATGAGTTTGTATATAATTTGATTATTCTATTAATTTCACTGATTACTGTTTCAGCTAATACAGTGAAGGTCACTTACAAAATAAATCTTCATTACATTTCACAGAAAGTAACTGCCTCCAACTAGTTGTTTTCTTTAATTAAACACTAATGTAACAAGAGAGAAAATAGGCTTCAGGGTTGCTGCATCTGTTCCTACAAGAGGAGTTTACTGCTTTGATGTAAAGCTCTCTGATATTAATTGAACAAAAATAGAATGTCTCTCCGTCTGACATCTTGATTTTCAACACAGAGATACCATAAACACTCACAGCTTACAGACTACACTTAGCTCATTCTGAAACTACACAAAAGGACTGGAAAATCATATCACAAAGCATAGTTTTCCACTAGAAAAAGTAGCTTTTATTTCTGAGATTGATTTTTTTCCCCTAAAATGCACAATGATTAAAGAAAGTGAATAATCTCTTCCCTAATTGTATAGTCATGTATAGCAAAAAGTACTTTCTTCCTCAAGGACAAACATTGTGTGAATGGCAAGGGAAGCTCTGCAGAAAGATCAAAGGAAAAGATGCCAAGGGCCTGAATTAGTGAACTGCCCTCTCCAAATTTCTTTTTGCACACAGAGCAAGCCTGTCCTGGTTCTTATGGTGCACGCTTTGCCTCCTCRAAGGCTCCAAAACCATGGTTCCTGCAGTACAGCATGTTCTAAAATCATCAAAAAGTAGAATACGGACAAATCACAACTCGAATGGCTACGGTCCAGTAAAGAGCTAACGAGTCTTCCGAACACAGATCCTCCCATATCCAAGCCTCCTGTTAGCACGTGCACTGACCAACTGGGCGAGGGTGAGAAAGGGCAGCCAGCACTGACGGAATACGGCTCCCTAAGGATAACAYCCACAGCCATCCAGGACTGCCCTGGCAATTCGGGAATTATTGGGAGGGATAATACATGACAATAAAGGCTGAGGCAATCTAAACAAGAATGACTCAAGTATTTTGATTTCTTTCTAGCTACTGCATTCATTTTTTTCCTGTAAAATCTTCAAAAAGGTCCTGAAAAATTCTCTAATCAGCCAAATTATTAACCCAATTAGCAAAATAACTGTTTAAAAGCCACCAGGAATTTCCTGTGCAGTTATCACCTGGAAGTCACTCAACTTCCAAAGCGCATTACACTGTAACCACAGTCTCATACCCAAACCAAGCTGACTTGCTTCCCTGCACACTGGCACCAGGGAATCTATAAAATCCACTTTTATGCTCTCTGCCCTCAGTTAAGCTATAAAAACTCAGGTTATCTTAACTTTTGATAAAATTCATGGACTACTTTAGTAATCAAACAATATTTTGGAAGTCTTTCTCAGTCCTATATTTGAATAAAAATAGGCAYTGCTAAACTACATTTGCATTTACATCTCAATTTGCGTCAATAAAAATGCACGCAGTTATCACAGATCTTACAATAATACTATAACAAATACATATTTCTGGCTCCTTATTTTTAACATAAGAGCCAGAATCTGCACGTCACCACACAGGCAAAGTAATGTCATATCCAAACTCGTTCAAMAAGACTGTTAAAAACCAATACCAAATAACAAACTATTCACTTAATCTTAATTATTGAAGAGAATAATTATGAAAATATGATCTCCATATCAGCATTTATATTCTACACATTTCTGTGTTTCAGACATTTTGGCAAAATGAAGCAAGACTGATTTGAGAGTAGGATAATGCAGCTAATTGCAGGGCTTTTACTTTTAAGATATAATATTACATTGTATACACCATGGAATACCTTCCAATCCCTGACAATACCAAGAACTTCTTAACTGATTTTTTTTTCCCCTGCCTGTTAGTGTTCTGGAACCTATAGACTTTGACATCATTCTTGAGAGGAATTGAGAGGTGAGTTTCATATGGTACGTCTTGGTTAAAGGCCTTCAYGAGGTATAAGCATCAGGAACACRCTATATTTCCAGACAGTGGAATAAGGGCTTCAAAACACCCCTCACTTGTAAATATGTTTTAAAACAAAAAAMCAAACATCTTTTCCTGAGGAGAACGATACAACCTAAAACAGGAAGATGCTTCTCGAGAGTTGCATACATGTAGAACGTATTTCACCACAAAGGTTATTTCCAAATTAAAAGTCTTTTCCTGTCAAATCCTGAGAATAATGTGGGCAAGGACACAAAGCATTCCATAGCTTTATTAACGACAATGCTCACTGATCTGTGAATAACCCGAAAAAAAATGAAGATTATTGAGTTACTTTACCAATCTATCCATCCATCACTCGGGAACAGGTCTCAGAATGATGGATTATCTCACTTCCCTGATGTTTATCCCAAGAAAGAGTTTCTCCGTAGGGGAAAAAAACAAACAACTGATCCTGCAAACCACCATGCTAACAACACTTGCCGCTCTGCATTCATCTGSCAGCAAACTATGAGATATAGATCGAGTTTGTCTGTAAAAACTTCAGCTAGGTCAAAAGTTCTATTATTTGATTAAATTCCAGTTTAAAAAAAGGTAAGAGTAGTACGACAACTACTCTTTCTACTCAGCATTTTATAAAAGACTTGGTAACACTGACAAGCTATACTGTCAGCAATTTTAAAATATGTTTTCATGTCCACAGAAACAAAATTTTAAACAATATGATCTATATAAATATACAAATGGTGCACCTTGAAATTTAGGACAACTTTTATTTCAGATAGAATTCTGATTCTTCCACATTTTAATAAAACTACAAACCTCCYAAAACTTAAAACTAGCTGCTGACATATCCGAGGGCCACAAGCAATTTACAGCATTACCTGAATTTTCCACTAATACATTAGACCTTATAACTGACATGCAGAAAAGTTGTGCATATTGCTTCCACATCAGTCATACAATCTACCAAGGACCTGGATTCTTAATCTTCTTGGAAATACAGGGATGGAAAGGGATGATTCTTCTTAATCAGAACATCTCTACAAACAAAACTATACTGTCACTGCCACAAGTAATTTCAGTTAGAATCTGCAACAAATAGGTATGTGGCCCATGAACATAAAATGTTCCAAGCCTACTTGCAGGACACAGCAAATGTCAGTCATGAAGTGGCTGAACCTGGAGAATCTCTAATCCCTGTGGTGAAGCAGCAGAAGACACTCCTCTACATCAGCACCAGCTACCTCAGCCAGCTCTTGGACGACTTCTAACAAGAAGATAAACAGAAGAGTAGACGTGGCACCCTGCAGAACCCTTGTGAGAGGGCAGAAAACAAAAACACAGTCTGCAGACTACAAAACAGTCTCTAACTCCCTCTAAAACTTYAACTTCATATTCATAAAATAGTTCTTCCAAACACACCAAAAAAACATTAAAAAAATCTTTTTCTGAAAAAAAAGGAGAGAGAAGAGATATAAGCTACATAAGTTTGTTTAGAGTGTATGAAAAGCTGTAGGAAAAAATACCTTATTAGACTCATTTTATTTATCTTAAATGACATTGTAATATATATAAATGAGCTAATAATCAACTATTTGATGAAGATCTATTTTAGATTTTCATGTAAAACTTCCAATTACAAAGAAAAGAGAGAAAGTTGACAGCTTTTTTTTTTTCTCCTAACACCAGGAAAATCAAAGAWACACTGCATTTTACTCTAATAAAGATTAAGCTGCAATTTCTCTTTAGTGACATTTCTTCAAGAAATTGTAAGCTCCACTTCTGGCTTGCAAAAAGGATGTTGGCTGCAAACTGCAAAAYGGGGTTGACTTCCCTTGCCTCCTTGCCCATATTTCAGGCAATTTTTGGTATTTGCATTTACTATACCAATGCAAAGCCTTGACGGGATTTCTCTTAGGCATGAGATATATTTGTTTACTTAGTAATAAGAATAATACTATTACTTCATTAGGAGAAAAAATAAGTTTCATGTGGACAAGTTTGAAACAAAAGACAGGTCAGTAGAAGTTTTGCTGCTTGTCAGCTTGGAAGAGCATGAGGTTTCCAGTGACCTTCGTTGTATCACGAATTCGATTTATGGGGATGGAAATCTCACATCTGCACCTCGACATATTGGGAGGTACATTACAGTGATATAAAAGTTTAATTTTCTCTCCTAAACTATACCTGTTTAAACCAATAAAGAAGTTACACCGCTTTTACTCACTCAAGTGTCTTCAGCAGTTATAAAATGTTGTACTGTTTATGCAGAATTCATTTAGAATGCAAGGATGTGACTTACAAATGTCTTTGAATCATTCACATAAATATGCATGCACACCATTTATAACAGTAGCCTTGATGAGAACACACAGTGTAACTGGCTGCAAGAAACGCTTAAGAGGTTTACATTAAAACAGAATATAGAAGGGTGGTTAGAAATCACCGAACAGGTGACACCTTGCTCTGATAACCTGGTGATAAAAACTGTAGGGTATGATGTATAGGTTGTGGCATCCCCACTTTACCACACAGGCTGAGCTCTGTTCTTAGGACACCACTCAATTTTAGTGAGACCCAAAGCAGATCTTTTATCACAATTGTAATTAATCATTAAAAAAAAAAAAAAAAAAGGCATTGCATACTAAATGGTTCACCTGAAAACAAAGACATTCAGATTTTGTTTTCATTATAATGCTTTGTAATACAAACCTTTTAAAAGCATAATTACTACTTGGTTTGACAGAATGATTTGCTTCAATTATTAAAATACTCTCCTTATTTAACAACAACAAAACCCCTTAAATGCTGCAGTCAACAGGCACAATCAGAAACTTTAGAGAACCTGAAGAGTTCTCGTCATCACAGAGAGCTTTTCTGACAGGAATGATTAGGTGACTTCTAGACACTGTTCTTGCTAACTCTTTATATACAGTGCTTTAACAGATCAGGAAATTGCCTGTGCTGGCTATTAAACAAAACAAAGCAAAAATACTTTCAACAACACGAGAGAAATCTAAATTAAGAAGAATCTACACCAGAGAAAATATAATTAATATTCTATTTTTAATCACTAAGGTAAAATATTCATATATTTGAAACTCAAGAAAGTCAGATGAGAAATATCACAAAACTGATACTTCTACAATGGTTTAGATCAATTTATGATTTATTAATCTATTGGTCATGTGCAGACCTAGTCCCACATGCAACCCTATTAAAAGGGAAAGACCTCCATTAAATCCATAAGCATAAATCATGTTGCACAGTTGTGTCTAGAGAATTTACCTAAAAAACAATTCTTCTTCACAAACTGGCTAGTCAGAGCACAACACACAATCCCACATTTTTTWAAAAAATCATCATATAAATATAATTTAAGATACAGACAAAAGCCTATTGTCAATCAAGTTACCAAATCAAGTTACTAAATAACATTCCTATTCAGTATAATACTAAATAATGCCTAGTTGTCTAATGAAATAAGGTAAGCATTAGGTAGACCATGTATACGAACAGTGAAATATTACCTAGGACAATTCCATGTATTTTTATTAAATGCTAAGGCCAAATCAAGCCTTTCTGGAGACCAGCCACCAGTGCCAACCAGCTGCTTTTCAGGCATCCTCCATGAACTATGATGATTATTCCAGAATGGTTCTATCAACATGTATTTGCATCCACCCTAACTACTGCCAAACAAKCCCAAGCTGCTAAGGCCATTTTTCTGGCAATAGGCTAAGCGTCGTTATAGAGTGGAAATACAGAACCATTATACAGACAGGCCAAGAAGAGAATATCCAACTGCACACTACAAACCAGAATGTCACAACTGCAGCACACATGTTTAAAGAAAAAAATCCACCAAAAAAAGAACATAGCCCTGATGCTTACAGGAACTGTATTCGATATATTGTTTAGACACAACAAAATCGCCCTACAGTCATCCTTGTTGACAGGTATCGCTCCTCATTAATCAATCTTAAGAAAGGACACCTATTTRTGAGTTAAATCATCTCTCACCTCTTCCTAATAATTAAGATAGGCAGCCATCAGAACGGCCAGCCACTACAAGTTTTATTTATAACACAGTGAACTTCGCTTTCAAGCATTAAACTAGCAAAATGTTTAGKGGAAAAATATTTCCACTGCTCTGAATGAAATACTATTCAAAACTCTTCAAACCAGTTTCCTGGTCTCAGCAGCTGAATTCACCATAGCTAAAATGTTTCTTTCTGTCCTAGAAAAATGCAAAATTGGGAAAGGGACTCATTCATAGGCAATGAAAATAGAAAGAAAACCTATCAGGCCACTGCCAGCAGGAACTGCTCTATAGCAGTTAAGAATTAAGAACTTCCTTTTTTGAAGATCCCAGTGAGAGAAGTCGAGCTTACCTGCAGAAACACTGTGGAATCTCCCCTTGGCCATACAAAGGGAACAGGAATGGCGTATTGCCGTAGCGGCCAAGGCACTGAAGAAATTTTTTGGTGGCCTGGATCCCATCCAGGGTGCTGCAATCAGCCTCCGACACCATAGCGATGGAGTGAAGAATGAAGTGCTGCAAGCTGGGTGTTAACTTCCGTGTTCCTAAGAACTCAGCAAAGGTCCTATTCTCATAATCTGAAAAGAGAGAAATGCAGGGAAATGATATAGCCTGACGCTTCTACTTTCTCTGGTGGTTCAATTTGAAGGAATACTTTTGTATTTCAAAAAGATCAAAAATGATCATAAAAGAAAACACGCAGATCTTTAACATCAGTATGATTGAAAATAGGTAGTTCTATTTTGTGAAGGCTAAAACATTTACTCTCAAAGTGCTTTTTCTTAGAAGACAGAAATAGCATCACATTATATCACCACCAAAATACTTTGAAATCACACAAATCTGCTATATATGAACTCCATATGAGACTGGAGTAGGATTATCTAGTTTTACAGATTATCTGAGCACCATCTAACTACGGCTTCTTCAATTAAGCTACATTCGACCTATACATACTTGTCATTCATATAACAATTTTTGCTTTAGATTTAACGTCCTAGGAAAGTGTGCGGAGTATTAGCCACATGGTAGAGAAAAATCCACAGGTTTTACCACAAGTRGGGTGGTACAGCTGATTCTTGCAAATTACATAAATATTTACCCATTTAACATAACATCTGGGCAAAAACTGTACTGTTGAATCCATATCTATGTGGTTAGAACATAGAGTGATGTGTGGATGAGCCATTCATACAGGGTTTGAATCCAAAGATGAGATAGGAAATATATATTCCAAGTATATCAGACTGATGACTTCCCAGCAAACAAGTATAGATGAGACAAAACATGACAAGGATGAAGCAGCCTATGTCCGCTTTAAATTAATACTACTACTCATGCACTTGGACATCTACAGAAAAACAGAAGGCTTTTAGCCAACACTGAAGGCAAACATTGCCTCTAATGTTACTGATATATCTCTAAAACACTATAATAAGTTGAATTATCTCAATAAACCTTGAATTTTCTTTTCTAGGAAAACTTTTTTTTTAAGGAATAATATATTTCATACCACTTAGAAATCCATTCTTAAGCTTATTTCAGCCACATGAAGACTCAAGAGGAATTTGGGAGTMCAATGCTGCGACCAGCATTATCAGGCCATATACTCTGTCTGAGATTCAACCACTGTTTTATTACAAATGTACTTCACTACCTTTATACAGCCATGCAGAAAGTAATAAAATGTATTACATTTTCTTTTATTTTATTGTCTTTCTGTAAAAGTCTTAAGTTTTTCTAATTCTAGCCTTCTTATGTAACTGAAATTTTTATAGAAAAAGCTTTAAAGAAAATTCTTCACTGTCATTAATTCTCAATGTTAAAAGCCTGTCTTCCCTAATGAATGCAATGATTTCACCAGGCACAATTCTAAAGTTCTGAAGTCTTTAAATTAGMCTAACCTGACTCAAAATATTCCCAATGACTTCCCTGAATACTTTAAAATGCAGGAACAAAATCTGTTTAACTACCACTGGACATAATAAATCTAATGTCATCCAGGTAGATGAGCCAATGAATTCACTTAAAATTGATGTGGTGTCTCCTTTTTCACTTAATAAATTTTCTAAATACCACCTATATTTTTAATCTGGATCCCGCAAATTCTTCCCTCAGCAGTAAACCTCAAATTGCCTATAATCCATAAACCAGTTTAKTTCAATGCGTTTTTCCCCTTCAAGATTTCCTAGAGTTCATCACAGCCTCTTTGCTTCCTAATCACATCAGATCGCTCTCTGTATTGACCAATTCTACCTTGCATATGTTTGAAATCATTTTCTCTGCCACTTGTACATAAYCTAAGATCATATAATACCACGGCAGCTCTAAACTCAAGTGACCAGGCCAGCATTAATAACTAACAATTACTTCTTCTGAAACCATTGCCTATCAAAAGCACTGAAATGCTTCCCTCTTAAAACCTAGAGTAATGGTTTAAATATTCCTTTTTTTCATTACTTCCTTTTGATAGATATTACATTTTTTGGCCTTAGTTTACTGTCAGACTGAAAGCACTTAGAACATCACTCTATTCTTTGTAGCCTTTGTTCACAAAACCAAACAGCCTTTCCTTTCCACTAGCCAATTTCCCTATTTTTTTTGTATAACATGGCTATTTTTTTGTATATTTTTATTTTTTGTATAACATGGCTCTAATCAACTCACATTTTCACTCCTCTAGGTAGCTCCATAATTGATAAGGATATTTGGCACTTACCATCTTCAATGAAATTGCATTTCATTGCAATGAAAGTCACAATAAAAGTACATTTACTTTCAAAGTTAAAAATTCCATGTTCAGCATTTCTAATTTTGTGGCAAGATACTCTCACAGGATTTACATATTATCTCCAAAAAGATAATCAGGTGCATCACACCATATTACAAAATCCTTGAAGGAAAATAAATACTTAAAAACTTGGCTACTCTGCTATATGAATTTTTGCTGCTAAAGAAGAAAGAAAATAATTAATGATATTATGGGAACTGAAAGTGTAAGAGATTAACTAAAAATTCATAGTGATGTGAAAGGCCAGGAAAAGGTCAAAGCATCCCTTGAAATTTAATATTATAAAAACTGAAAGAGTGAAAACACGAGAGCTATCAAAATTGTGCTTAAAGGAATAAACTCAAAATGAGAATGTTATGTAATATTCCAAGAAATACTACCTTGGTATTCATCAGGGTGTTGCTCATACTCCAAACAAAACGTCAAAAATTTCATTAGCAATCTCTTTTCCACCATAGTGAGCTGCTTGCTGTTGAAGACATCTGCTCTAGAGCAAGGTACCTAGAAAACATTTTTTTTTTTTTTTTTTATCATTTTTGGTGTTTTATATAACTCATGTGGGAAAGGCATGAAATAAGACTATAGTTGATAACCTAACAAACATTTAAAGTTCCCTTTTTCATTAGAATTGTTTCTATTCTCTTACAGATTTATACTATTTTCTAATATAGCTAAAATAATATTTTAGGATGTTTTTATTATGAAAAAATATTTTCCCCCTTTCCTTATTTTGACTATTTCTCTTGAGTTTCAATTGTATCTCTCATATCTCCTATTACTATTATCAGACTAGTAACTTCTCTCTTACGCAGACAAAAAGACAGATCATGTCTACCCAAGGAATTTTAAAACCTAAAACCTGTGCATCTTTAAGATACAACAGCTGAGTCTCATACTAAACGTGAAACTGAAATAAAAATTTATGAAATTAAAACAAAAATTTCAATTCAATATACTAGCTTACTGTTACAAAACCCTCCTGAATAAAACAATTTCAAAAATTGACTGCGAAAAGTTTAGGTTAAACACACATAATACATTCTTCTACGATACCTGTTCCACTTTTCCTTCTCGAAAGGCAAGAATTCGTGTGGCATTTTTAAACTCTGCGTATCTGCTAACATTTGACTTAATGAGAAGGTCAATTAACAGACCTCGGGAATAGAGCAGCTGCACAATAAACAAAAATAACATAGTGAGTAAAGAAAAAGAAGCATTAAAAGCTTTACTAAACTTTACTAAAAATAGTAATTTCAAGAGTAAACATTTGTAAGATATTTTCTATACTATTTAGTCACAAGCAATGAATTAAAATCACAGCAAAATAACATCAACATAGAGCACATTCAAAACAAAATTAACTGAAGAAACCACAGAGACAGACGACCACAGGAGAGAAGGTCTCAGCCCGTTGTTGATCTTATTTTATTAGTTTGGGAGTCATTCTACTACTTCTATTAAAGTAATCGAGGTTCTCAAAGATAGGAGAGAACAATGGGATGAAGTTCTAGTAGGTTTTTCCTTTCTACTCCCTTCAATGTCTATCACTGGACAGTGTTATCCATATTTAAAGATTGTGCATAGTAATCTACATGGATATATTTAACAGTCTCCTCAAAATATTTTGCAAAAGAAAAATAAGAAGATTAAGCACTGTATTTTGAGAAAATAAGTATATACTGTGAAGCATAGAAATTAAAAAAAATGTATGGTAAATACATCTATATTCTATTATCTTCTAACTAAAGGCACACAAGAATAGCAATTGAACAACATCATAAAAATAGGTCGCTACACAACTTTTATGTTATGGACTAGCTGCAGTTTTTTTTTTTTAAATACAATTTATTGCAAATCAGTTTTTCATTCAACTGAGAGCTAAAAGTGGTACATTTTATTTTAATAGACTGTCAGGGAGAATAACACAGGAAAAAGTATCTATCAAGGTGAACATGACTAAAAGAAAAATTACTTTTCATCTTGACAATATCAAATGCCTACATGTAAAGTAGTTATAGGTAGCATTTCAGCCCTATAAACACCAAGATTTTAAAACGTCTCATCATTTAAAACAAAGTAAATGTACTTGTATGAAAAATCATTAAGTTCCTACCTTRGAAACTAAATCAATATTAAACCTTCTGCCTTCTCTAACAATTTGTGCATAGGTGATTTTCTTTGGTTCCTGGGCAGCATTTTCTGTGGGTGCCTCTGTTTCACCCACATCCGAAGCGGGCTCACCCGAAGCTGGATCGGGAGAACCCTCCCTCTCGGGGGTGACTTCTGTTTCATTCCCTCCGGTCGCACTTGCTGGGTCACTGCTTGCAGCCGGTTCTGGCAAGGTGTTCTCCACAGGAGCACTCTCCTTCTCCGGGTCCTGAGCAGCCCCCTGGGCCCCAGAACTTCCAAAGAGAGGCAGCTTGGACAAAGCGCCGGCTTCTTCAACATCTTCTGCTGAATCCTGACTGATTCAGAACACGTGGGGAAGAAGAAGGGTGGGGAGGAAAGAGAAAGGAAGGACTTTAAAGTTGTCTTAAAAACTCGTTTAAACTTCTGAGTTATTTTCTGTGAAAATACTTAAAATGTCCTTTTCCTGGTCAACTGGGGTGTCACCAACTAAAGAGCTCTGGATTTCTGACTGTAAAACTAGCACACAAGACAAGCACTGGTGGGAGGGTGTGGGGAGGAATGAAAACACTTGCCCTTTTTACATAGAATCAATAAATTCAGCTTAACATGAAGAAAACAAAGTTCCACACATTATACAGCTATATAAACAAAGAAATCTAGTATTTTTTTAAATGCACAATTTGATTGCCTTTTTCTTACAGATAAAAATCTTTAAGATTAAACTACAAAAAGACATTCAAGTTAAAAGCCAAACCTAGTTCACTGAAGGAAACAGAATTACCAGGTATGACTAAGACTACTTTGCATCTAATAGAGCAAGTCTTCCCGAGAAGCATGGAATTTCGAACTGAAGCATAAGTTCATATTAAGTTTAAACAAAAAAGTTTATTTTTCAAACTCTGGTCTTACATTCTGAGTAGCAGTTCAAGTAATAGCTGTAAAGAACAGTGTACTTGCATAACTTTTTTTTTTGTAATAAGGTATTAGAGTTCATAAGTTTAACCATGCACCAAACAATTATCAACAGAATTCAGGTATTACGTTACATTATTTTCACCTTTACTAACTTTTCACAATCTTAGATTTATTGTGCATGTGGTAAATCTAGTTCTSATTAATTCCTAACGTGCTTAGGACGAAGGCAAGCAGGCCAAGGGAGGGACATTATCACCCATCAGTATTCTATACAGTCCATTTCCTTGTCATAATGACACTTTTCTTTAATATTCCTCTTAAAAAGCAGACCTCCACTTTTAATCTCATCTACTCTTTTTATCTTGAACTTCAATGACACCTACCTTAGAAACTAGTACTTTTGAACTTTGAATTTTGGTTTATACTACCAGCTGAGATGAATCAAATCAGTGTCATTATAAGTGAAAGCAGTTCAGCAATAATTTCACACTATCTTTTTATCTTCATACCACAAGCCATTAATGCACTGAATCAACAATTTAATCTCAGCAGAAAACTAATGAACTATGATTTTTAAGGTGACCTGCAAACTACAGTATTGAATTTCAGTAACTACCAAGATGGTTAAAATTCACTGAGCAGCAAGGAATTCTTTGGCACCCTTCTAAAAACGTTCCTTCGCTCATCGGCAGCCGTAKAGATGGAAGCGGGAGGAGAAATTCCTGTTCAAGTCATTAAAGAAAAGAAATTCTGCCTCCTTTCAAGGGCTTATCTCCTTATGATCTCAGGGGCTAATGAAAGCAAGAGTTTAGTGTAAGCCTGGCGCACAGTCCCCAGCAAGCATGGGGATAAATCGGATAAAATACTGCCCCGGGAAGTACAAGAACTGCTGGAAGGAAACAGTCATGAATGCAGTCAAGTTCTTTACAGTAATTTTTTAGGTCTCTTTATACTGTGTACATTAAATACATGTAGAATATCAAAGAAAAAAGTAAATACTGTGTCAAATGTTTCCAAAAACAAAACAAAACAAAAAAAGAATACAACTGACCACTCCATTTCAGGGGCAAGGTGGAGTCAGTTTGGTTTAGGAATTCARAACGCTGTGTCAACAGACCAAAAAGCCCTATTGTCACCAATGTAATCACTAAAGCTAAGCTTTTATTTTAGCCTCTCTGAAGCTTTATAAGACACAATGCAAATTCAGGACAAGTTTTTCCTCCTACCTTTAAACTGCACAGATCAAGCTCATTTTAAACTTACATATATATTTTTATTTTTTAATCATCAAAGTAAAACTTGGCTTTGCAATGCATTTTTGTCTTTTTTTTTTCCTGTATCAACTTGAAACACAACATAATAGAAGTGTTATATTTACAGATTTTTAAATTAATCTTACATATTTTTAAACTAAATTCAATTCCTGCTAACTGAATAGGTAAATCCGTATGATTTGCAGTTCTATACACTTTATAATGGACGCCTAAGAAACATACATAATCTAAATTCACGGCATCTTTCCTATAGGAACAAATATCCCTGAATAATGTATATAAACTGTATATAAAAATCACTTAAATTGAACTTTTGTGCAGACAATATTTCTCCTAACTCAGAAAAAAAAATACATCTGCAGACAAATTGTTGTGTAAATTTAGAATATTATCTTCTRCCATTCATCAATTAATGGTACTAACAAAGGAATATCTTAAAATGAATGTGTCTTATTAATGCCTTGTAACAGCAACCCCTTCAGATAGGTCAAATGAAAAATTGCCAACCAGCTGGTTAATTTATTCAGCACAGGTGTTCACTATTTATTTTTCAGCCATTTGCCTTTTTTCAATACAGCTTGTTGTAGACACAGTATTCTTTTCCTTTGATGGATGCACTTTGTTCTAAGGCCATTCATTTCAGATTTGCGCCGTGTATATTATACTGCTACCCAGCTGTTTATTCTTTCAAAATAAATGTTTAATGGTTACTTCATAGGAGTTATAAAAGTTAAGCAAAAACAACAGAATCTAGCCAGAATGTGTAAATTGTCAGAAACACAATAATTGACTCTCTCAAAAAGTTTTAAGTTAATTTGGCAAACTTTTTCTTTGATAGTTTTATTAGTCTTAGAGGTCTTTGTTGTATTTTTTTTCCTCCCCTGATAAATGGAAGACAGCATTATACTGCCAGATTAAATTAAAAATAGTATTAAAACATGGAGATCCAACTAGACTGCTCACTTGCAGCAACCTGCAACTCCTTCCTGCTGGGGGACTCTCCTTGGAGCCAGCCATGAGTCAGTTATCACCTCTCCAGTAAGGGCCTCCCTAGGGATGCAAAGCTAACAGACTATGAATCTTTTAGTCTAATTTAATGTTCATTCTGAACAATATTCATTAATGCAATAATATTAAAATGTTATATATATTGACATTGCTTTAAATCCAACATGTTTTACATGCAGTAAATGTTGGTCAAGCTGCCATTACTATGCAGCACAGCTGTATTCTGKAACCTTCAAACTGTGTTCCTCTAATTCTTATATTATACTTTTTTTTTTCTAACTCTGAAAGAAACAAATGTTTCTATACGAATATTGCCAATGTTGCATTCAGCTACCTATGGTATTATCTAAGAAACTCAAGGTTAAACTTTAAACTACTATTCCAATAAACCTTTCAGGAAGTCATAATAGTTCAATGATTCAATTCAATGCAAAACCTGTAAGATATAAAAATAAACAGAGAGAAACAGTTTTCAACTGAGGCCCACACAATTTCCATTCATTATTATTATGCTTAAGTACTATTTGAGACCACTGCTTAACAAGGATACTTTTAGATATTGCTCGATGTATTTTGGATAATACAACACCATGAAAAGCTTATTTCTTGTACAGCTATACATAAGAAAGTATCCTATATACACCTAACAACTGAARTCAAAAATGAGATTTCTGTTCCTAACTCCTGCTAATGCAAACAATTATGAATACCTAACGGGAATATACTTAGTCACATAATTCTAAGAGAGCATATTACTCTTGACCCACTTTGCAACAATTCTCCCCAGAAGTAGAGGTGTGTATATCAAACCAAGTGTGTATCTTTTGCATTTTGTAAGCAGAGAAAGAGCTGTTACTTCAAATGCAAAAAGGTGACAGCCCAAGGTGAACTGTTATCAGGAACGTTCGAGCATGGCAGTTCATTCTCAAACCCCACTGGCAAGCACTGTTTAATGAGGAAGCTGAAGGCACTGAATACAGAACTAACAGAGGGGAAGTATTGTGTTGTTATTGCAGCATAGCTAAGTATTTCATAATTACAGTACTGCTAACCATTCATGCTCRTATTCTTTTGTTCATCTTTCACTTTAAATGCACAAAAAGGGAAGGTCTACTTATGAGAATGGGAATATTCAAAGTACTGTAATATGTAACGAATCCAAACCACCAAATAGGAGAGCTCTGCTTTTGCCTGCCAGCTAACAAGGCTGCAGGATGAATATTCAAACACTGCAACCTGATAAAGCAGTGTACGAAGAATCTTCCTATGGAATTACCTTTGATGGAGTATGGATAATTTCAACACAAGAACAAGGACTCCTACTGAAATTTTGCAATTCTTAGTTCTTTTTCAAAGGAAGCATGTCGGGTTGCTGGTGATGAAAAACTTAAAGCCAAGAGCACAATGTAATTCTTTGTGACATATAAAATTATTTGTAAATTATTTGTATATTTCCATATTTATACTTACTTGCCAAAACAGAAGTCTTCTACATGTTCAATAGTTTTATCTGAGTTGTCTAGAGAAATAACTTCTTCATTCTCAAGGATCAGTTTTCTCCAGTCTTCACATTCATCACTGACTTCAGTTTTCTGCTTAAAAGAACAACTATGAAATTGCAAATTTGTACTGCACTAACTATTCTTAGACTACAAATGTCTAATGATTTGTCTTTTAACACTTCTACAGTTTTACTTTAAAAACTATAATAAAAATAATTAGGGCTGGTCACTTCACTGCAATATGTCAACATTTGCACTACATTATTAGCTCAATTAATTTGAAAATACAGCATAAAATGAAATTCAAGTTTTAGTAGAAATTAAAATATAGCATATTTTATAACACAGAATTTAGGTTTATCACAGCCAGACTAGTCAAAGTGTTTTTGAGTCAAAGTTCTTTGAATAGCATAAAATGCAATGATCTGAGTATTATACAAGTCTCAAATACAGGGATATTTCATGTCATTTAGTCGTCAGATATTAGTTTTCAGTAATGTAGCAGACATACAGCAGTTCCATTCTAGTGTCAATATTTCCCCAATTGAGAACACTAAGCATATATCTGACATATATCCATAATACACAATATACAGGGACATTAAGCAGTCTGTCTTTCATTTTTCTATCTAGCTTTTCATGTTAAAGAATGTTAATAGCAGTAATTTGGATTTTTTTTTTTTTACCTGTTTTTCTTTAATCCAGGACAATAATCCTGAAAAGCTAAAGCTGGCCCAATTTCCACCATAGTAATTTTTCCTGCAAAGAAAAAAGCAACAATGAAATATAACAGACCGAATCGAAACTTTTTCCAATTGTTTTTCAGAAKTTTTTTTTAGTTGCATTCAAACATTTTTGCTGACAAGTTTTACGTGCACAGAACACACAAACTGGAATAATGTTTTTCAAAAAAATTTAATTAGATGGAAAATTTCCATTTTCATTCAGAGTATGTGATGAGATTTGGCCSCCTTCTGACAGAACAGACTCCAGCCTGTTCATTATATCTGTAGACTCGTTATCCAGGAAAATGAATAATGGTGAGAGGAAGCGCCCTGGCTTCGGTGAGGAGCAGAAGAACATGCAACCACGTGCACACGTGGTACTCCTCGAGCCAGACTGCCTCTGTGCCTCCAAGCCCTGCACATCTGTATTTCCTGTAGGTATCACACTGGCAGTGTCCCAGGGCCTATCGTGACCTACCAGCTTCGTCACACTGTCACACGAACGGGGCCGTACTGCTTCTGACTGATGCTGGTACAAAACCTGGAATAATTACATCATATGGCACTTCCTCTGTAAAGTGGACAGGGTTAGGGAATCCCATAATCATTCCCATGCTTAGGCAAACTGAGCTGGGATCCAAGCAGTAGAATTCTCACTTCTCTTTTCCATTCTGTCAAAAATAAATGAACTTTTGCTTAGCAATTCCTGACAGAATAATTACCATACTTATTAAGAACTGTTTACATTTCCTGCCAAAAGCACCTCTAAACCACATATACTGTAGGTGGAGCCAAAGGAGCTGATTTGTACAAAACGATCGTATCTTCAGGAGTACTTTTCAGGGTATATTTAATACCTGCTGCCTTGGAAATTACTTGTTTAAAATTACAGAAAATTAACAATCATATTGTTCATCAATAAATGGTCTCTGCTCTTCTTTTTTTCTATCACTAATCTCCTAGCCATACAATGAATGAATTATAGCATGTTATCATGAATATCAGATCTTAAGTATTCAGTAACCATGAAAAAAGACTAATTACATTTTTTAGAAAATGCTAGTGCTTGGGGGAAAAAAAAAAGGCTACTTGTATGTATATTTAACCTTACACACTAAAAAAAATGTTRAGGAAGCAAGGTGAGATTTGTGTTTTATAGAATAGTGTACACTGATAAATTCAATAAACCTGAAATCTCACCATAACACACTCCATTTCTGAATTGTGGGGATAAGTRTGATCACAAATGAATTAAATTCAGGTTAGATTCCCCAGTTTAGGCTAGGCTGTTTTTGACAAGGGTTATATGTGCTGACAAAGGCTTCATTAAGAGTGTCAGTCCCTTCACGGTACCAGGGCGTGATGCTGTGGCCCATGTTGCTTACTTAGCATATGAAAGACAGATGTCTGCTAAACAATCCCTAATTGTTCCTGACTAGAAACTGACCTGAAAAAGTCTTTCAGCTACTGCAAGGCAACAGTGAGGAACATAAATAGGACATCTTTTGCAAAGAGGACAAAATCCGGCTTTCACTGAATAAAGGTGGCTTCAAGAACACCATATAGTGCTTAAGGCCATGATCTGGGAGGACTGGACCTATACTATAAAAATTAAAAAAATAAACGCATGGGTCTTCCATGCAATTTAGTCTATGCAGCACTTTATTCATTCTGAGCAGAAGAGATCCATCTGTAGATGTGTTACCAACCAGCAGCTCAGATCTTCTATGAAAAAGAGTTAATATTTATCTCATTATGGGAGTGATAAAAACGTGTGTACTTGGTTTCACATGAAATATCATGAGGTAAGAATTAACTGAATTACTGAACTCTTCATTCTTCCAGATTTCAGTCTGTAAAACAGCACCTACAAAGATCTTAAGGTCTATTTAATTATAAATAAATTATGAACTTATAAATAAAGCTTTGCTTTAACATTCAAAGGTACACATTAGTCACTTGCTCCTTCCTGAGATTCCACTGAAAAGACCAACATCCATAAATGATCTGCCACTCCTGGGAATTCAGARAAAAGATAGCCATGAAGATTTGCTTTCAGAGAATCTGCAGCTTTAGCTGCAGGTTTCCGTGGCTATGGAATACAATGTGCCTGCCAGAGCGAGCAAAGCCACTGATCACACAAACTGAAGAAAACACCTGCATCAAACAGGGGTGCTTGAACCTGTACTAATATACATTTATGCATGTTTGGAATATTTCAATTTAATAAACTTTCAGTAAGAGAAATTACTATACTAACACACAAGTAAAATTATGTAACTTTCTGTGAAAATGTCAGACATCCATAAGGCAAACGCCCTGTTCAGGTGGATTTTTCTCTGAAGCTGCTTTTGCTCTTCACCACCACTGAAGTGAACCAGTCTCTGCAACCCAGCCCTCTGCTAGCCCCTCCTTTGGTCAGCTATGATTTGTAATTAGTTATTTGCGCTGTGTTCCATGGTGTTTTTTTTAAGAGTTAAAATTCAATTATGCCCTAGAAAGAATGAAGTTTCAAAAGATGCTGTTATTTCAGCATCCATTTTGAAGTTGGTACAACACAGTTAAAAAAGTCACTTTTCTATGAGGTTATATTGAACACTGCATTTCTTCTTTTTCCAAAATTATATAGTTACCTGGATGCTATTCACTCTAAATTTCTCTTGTATCACTTGGATTTTCATATGAATTTCAGTCATACTGGTTTTAGTTCAGAGTTTTTGTATTCTGGATTTGTAGTTCAGAACAGACAGGAAAATTACTTAAGAAAATTTTGTAAATTTTTGGAAATACAGCCCAAGTAGAGTTTTATCTGGGGAAGAAATTTAAATTTCTCTTCTCCTACATGATTTTAAGTACTTTTTCTCAGCTGCTAACACYGTCTTCTTCCACAAATACTTCAAAAAAAAATTAGCAAATCCCATTCCAGAACATTCTGAAATTGCAAACTCATTCCGGAGTCCAAGCCAGGAGGACCAGGTGAATACTTAGTATTTCCTTTTGAAGACAGTGAGTTGAGAAATTGTGCACTTAAAGCATGAGACACACAAATAAGGCAGAACCAAGAGCAGAAAGAGCCTTTCACGCACCATGTCTCCAGTCTGCCCTTCTAAGAACAGCCATGGTAGAAGAGCCAAACGTGGCCACGTCTGAGGAGAAGCTGCTGATGCTTCATGACTGCTCCCGAGAGCTGCCTGAATGTGTCTGTCCTGCATTTGATCTTACAGAAAGAAGTCTCCTACCATCACAGGATCTGTCTTTTGCAAAGGGAATTACTGCCACATTGATTTTAAGGAGCTGAACACAAAATGCCTTTTGTTTCAAACCCATAAAATTTCATGTACTATTAAGTACACTCGCACTTTTATTCRAAATTCCTTTTTCTTCTTTGTAACCATGTGTTAGAGAATAAGAAGCAGGCTAAGGGTTTCCTTGGTTTCCGAAAGAGACAGTTTAATGCAGGGTTCAGCTCTTGAGATCCTTCAGTTCAACCAAAGGGGCAGCAGTGGCAGTCACTTACATTACAAGACATTATGTCCTGGGACATGAACACGATGAAGGGCAATTACCACAGTCAGCTGAGACTGAGGTTTGCCTCTGCAACAGCTGGGATATGAGTTCATTTCTGAAAACAACATTAAAAAGGCTTTTTCAAACAAGGTCAAAAGATGCTCAAACTAGAACTTGTTGCCCGAGTTCCCTTTTGAAAGCTGAACAATTTCTCTAGTTTTCACAGAAGGATCAAACTTGCCTAATGAGCACCTCATTCCTTCTCTGGCCACTCTCCTTACACAGTAATCTCACCTTGGGGAATTGTAAAACAAAAAAAGGAGGCCACGCAAGCCTATATCGTATTTTACAAGCTATATTTTATTTTACAAGTTCTGAAGAGAGATGCACATAGCAAGACTAGGGATGCACTAACCAAAATGACTGTTAAGTGTATGTGGGTGCCCAGGAAGCTTTTGGATGCTCAGATAAAACATAAATAGAGTCCTGGACATGAGCGCACTGACCACTCACCATGTCACACAGGGTCAAAAAGCAAGACAGATTASAGGTGACAAGAAGCAAAGGGACGTGAGGAATAAGCAAAGCAAATTTGGCACAAAAGAGCAGTTGAAAACATCCTCATCTTGGATTTAAACTTTACATGAACAAAGAAAGAAGTCAGCGAGGAAAGGTGTATGCAATAGAGCTATACAAAAGCTATACTCTGGATTTGGAGAATCAAAATTCAAAATGTAGCTAAGTGCAGCTCCCTCTAATCCTCTGTATACTCATTTGTCAAACTCAAATATACCTAATTACAAGAAAATACTAAGCAGAAAACTGTAAATAGGGAACATAAGAAACCAGCAGGGGAAAGTGCCATGCCTATGAACCATTACCATGGGAGGCGCATTCACTTACAGTAATCAACTTCTAGTCTTGATCTACCCTCCTTTAGCAACTTCCACTTTAAACTAAGTGCTGATCTCCACATTTTAAATTGCAAATTACTTTTCTAAATCACTTAACATCTATCCTTGAAATTTCACATGTCAACAGCTCATTAATATCTACAGTAAATGTAGCTCTCTGAAAAGAACCCCAGATTTTACATTTATTGAGACAGATCGCTGGCCCAGAGAAATGGAGCTCCCTCAATTACTCTTTGGCAGCAGCTAACTTCAGTTCAAAATCCGTCGAAAGGAATTTATGGCAACACTGCAGTGAAGTGACTATTTTGAATAAGATAAGCTACTGTTGATGCTGATGCTTGGACAGTGTTTATAAATCAAACTGAGAATGCTGTATTTATAATAGGCCACTTCAAAACTATCTGCCATTATCACCTATGCAGTGATTACATATCACTAGGTAATTATCTGCCATAATCACCTATATATTATGATGAATGCAAACCTGGTTAGGGATTAAAATACAATGATCTAGACGTGATCATGAGTGCAAGAAGACCACTCGCAAATTCTTTATCTATATACATTTTCCACAGCTTGTATCTAAATTAACACAGATACTTGTAAAGAACGATAGAAATTCATCAAAATAGCACAGCAAACAAAGAAGTATTTCAATAACGTCAAATGTGTCTTTTGCAACTTAAGTCATGTCCCTTCAGAAAGGGAACACAAGTAGGTTAAAAAATATTAATCTGAATAGCAGCAGGGATTTCTTTTGTAATCAATTTTCAATTATTCTATAAGTTTGATAAAATTAAAATTGAAAATTCAATTAAAAATTAATATTTGATGATAAATAAAACTAAAATATTTAAATTCAGTCTGTTAGGAGGCTTGCCAGAGATCCAATTTTTCATCTAAAATTCAAATGACATCAATGGTGTCAAATTTCCCCCATTTTGCTTTTTAAAAAAATTTTTTTTTTGCAAGGGTACTAACTAACTTTAAAAAAAAAAAAAAAAAAAAGCAGATGGCAACTGAAATGTTTGTCTATTTATGGAAGGTTTTGTACAGCATAAACATTTTCATTTTTTGCCAAGATCTGCCTTGTAGACTGTGAATCAGTGAGCACACACACCAATTAAAACAGCACCCATTAACATAAATGAACAGAATCTCTATCGAGAACACCTTTCCACGACCTAATAAGCTTACTGCCTTCACAGGAGGTGGAAAACAACTCCACGGGAGAAAGGAAGCAAATGTGGAAACTTTCATTTCCATCACAGAAATAAACCATGTGTGAATGTAAATGAGCATATTTAAGTGAAAACAGTAATAAACAAAATCTGTATGCCACAGTTTTAATTGCCTCTTTATCTGAAGAGCACTTCATCATAGCTAAAACAAGGCATGGATAGAACAAATCCAAGTGCCACTGGCTAACTGTTGCTACAGATTTTGGTAGACAATGGATATGGAAAAATGAAGTAACAGAATAAGAGGTTCATTTAGTAAAAGCAAAGTAGCTTATTAATAATATATGTACTTTGGTTAAAAATCTAAACTTCATATTTTATTAATTCTAGATCTACTCAGTCTAAAACAAAGTTTTTGGTATTTTGGAGAGTGATTTAAGAGCTAATTCAACAATTACTGTTCCAAAGTGTTCTTGAAATTAATGTAGCTTTACASCTTTGCATGAAGGTCTTACAACAACTTCAGTAAGATCTGCTGGACTTGGTCATGCAAGCATTTGTGTTACTGTGGCAGAGTATCTATTAAATTTTCTAAAATTCCACAACTGTGGAAACAAGATCTTGAAAGCAGTCTTGGTTTCAACTGAATCACTGCTTATTCTGAATACAGAGCACTAGGTAATGTCTTGKTTTGTGCTATCTCCTTGCGATGTGAAATACTAGCATTAGTCCATCTAAGGACTTTTTTCCCTGCAGCTTTAAGAGTTTAGTCTAACAGAGACTGAAGACTTACTAAGATAAATTCTTAATCCTAGCTTCTTCTTGACAAAAAAACTACTTGTTCTGGAGTGCCCCACCTGTCCTCACTTTAATCCAGGACAGCCAGAGGTTTACAGGGAAAGTCAAGAGCCAACTGAGCAACTGCAAACYGTATTTTATGCAAACTAATGAGGTAGTCTTGCAAGCTTTGAACTTGTGAGGTACTTCAATTCAGAAACACACATATTTTAAAATGATGGGACCTTTTAAGGGCAATGCACCAAACCGACTGCAGAAATTTAATCTTGAATTAGTGCAGTTCAGAGAAATTGAGCACATTCCAGCATAAAACACTGGCAAAACTGAAAACATGTAAACTGGTTACAGCAAAAGTCTCTCAACCCCGGTGCTGTATACACATGTGCATGTCATGAGAACATGCACAGAAAGGCAAGAACTCAAAAATAAAATTTAAAAATAAAACAAGCTAAACGTGTAATTTTTGGCAGTCCAACTAACAAGCAGCGCATCTGCGTTCACAACATTCTTGTTACTACCACTCAAACCACACATTTTTCACTGTTTACCTAAAATCTGCAAGTATAAGCTAGATGGGAACAAGCAGGCTGCCTGAAACCACCACCCACACGGACTGTTACTGGTTATTAACACAGTTATGATTTCACAGTTAAATATTCATCAATTTATCAATAGTCAATATTATCAATATTAGTCAATATACTTCAAATAAAATACCTTCTATGCAAATACAGAGTATAAAATAAAATCTGCTTAGTAGTGATCAAGATTGTCTCAAAGAGGTTTCCTCTCATCTGTCTCTGTGGCAGATGGGAATCTTAACAATTTACTTTGGTCAGCTGATGCTCCAGAACTGGATCTCAAGAATACCTCAAAAGCCAAATTTCTAACCACAGTCGTGCGTATGTGTACAGTACTGAGCAGGTGTACAAATAAGCTGAGATTCAACCACCAAATACCCTTTTTTTTTTTTCCTCTCTAAACAACAGTATGCATCATGGTGTACTGTTACAAAGTTTATGTATAAAAACTGTTCTAATAGCGTTGGTAGGTTGCTGAAGAAAAGAAGCCAAGTGAGATACTAGACTCTTAAAAAGGTGTCATGAATCAGCTCATTTCAGGGGGATTCTGCAGTACTGTTCTTTCAGTACTTTCAGTTCTGCAGAATGATTTTGCATGGGAGAGGCAGAATAACACGTCCTGTTCATGTCCTGATTAATCAGACAAACATTTAATGATAATCCACTTAAATAAAAAATAGAAAATAAAAAATAAAAAAACACTTTTATTAATCTGTCTCTTGAGAACTGATAAAAACAGGATGCTAGAGAAACATTTTACCATTAGAAGATCAGATCTCAGTTAAAAATTCTCACACCAACAGAATGGGATAATTACAAGGGGAACCAGCAATCATTTGTATTAACGAAAGAGCAATCAACATGATCCTTGAGCACAATTACRTCCCAAAGTAGTAGCTGATATTCGAAAACTGACTTCCTTACAGAGGGGACAACCTAAAAATAAACATAATTTTTAGGGGAACCCTAAAGCTTAAGCGTGCTTAATGCCACATGAATGCAGAACACAAACGTTCAGAAACAAAAGGTTACAGTGATGTATGCAAACACACTGCTAATCGTTTCAACTGTTATGAAGGAATATTATTGGAATAGCTTACGAATCAACATGAAGAACTCTCTGGCCACTTCTGGAACATGCAGCTGCAATGATAGACTCAGGCAAACCTGAAAGGACACATGTCAAGTTTTAAAATTTAGTACACTAAGATATATTAACAAATGAAACAAAATCAGTGCTGAGTCAGTAACAAGCAACAAAACAAAAAGAATACATAATGCAATATGTTAAAGCTTACTGGACTAATAAAGAACAGAAGCTCTTACGTTGTACTTAATATTCCATTAAAATTTAAGACTCTTACTGACACAGAGGGGAAAAAAAAAAAAAAAGTTTAGCTAGCTTTATTGCTCCTGGAACCTGAAAAGCAGTCTGGAAAGCATTCAGCAAGGCTTAAATACACGCAACCATAGCATCATGATCTCTTTAAGCCTGAAGCGACAATGTTACCATCAGCATAAAATGGTTAACACCTCTGACTTTGGCCATTCCCACCCTTCCTTCCACAGGAAGTCAAAGGTTGGTTTGCAGTTGGTCCATGATGTCAATTGCATTTCTCAGAGTTACTATTTCGATGGATTATCACAAAAAAAAAAAAAAAAAAAAAAAAAAAAAAAGCTTTCTTAACTGGCAAAACAGAAGATATTGCAATAGTCCATACTGTTTCTACATGGGTATCTGTAGCACAGAAGGAACATCAGAAGCGAAAGGGACGAACAGTTTTATCAGTTCAAAGGACACTCATTCCATAATCCAGACAGGTCTATAGGTAGCAGTCACTTCAAAATCAGAAGACATCAGAAGTTTTCTACTCTTTAAGATACCACAAAGTGCTCTGTCCACCCTGTTTCACAGGCAGCACTTGTGGTGTATGCTAAATGGTTACTTAGAGCAATGAGGGAGGCCAGAGGTTCTAACACAATGGCAGGATTTCAAAATCAGGACAATTAATTCAGTAGCTGGCAGATGCCTATGTTTTATATGTTGATATGTAATTTTTGACAGGCAGAATAGTGACATGTTAAGTACAACTCAGATGAACAGCTCAAATAACTTCAGGATGAAAAGCATCTAAACAAATATACTGCGAGTGGTAAAGGTCTGTGCCTTATATTTGAAATGTCTCTGATAAAATCTTACTTAAAGTTCTTTAAAGTAAGAACACAAAAGATAAGTTATTAAGAACAAAGAAACAATCATACTTCTGACAAAGAAGATACCCAGTGGTACSACACGCTTAGGACTGTCACAAGATGCTGGATGCAAAGTCTTCTTCATGTGAAAGCCAGTCAAGCCTCAGCTGGCCTCCCRAGCGTCTGCATGGATGTTTCATTTCTCTGCATCGATCAACTATTCGGTTTAACTGAATCTATGATTAACATTTGCAGCTCCCAAAAGAGAAAAATATTTTCTTTTCCTTATTTTGACGCAGAGATTATTATTCTAGAAATGAAATCGAGAAGCTTGTTTCTCCTTCCAGATTGATAAAAGCAACTGAGAACACGTAAAACATCCCCAGTGCTGCCTGGCTGAGCGGGCCTGGAGTTATAGCTACCAGGGCATAACAGATTGCTCTAAACTCGATCCAATTGATACTATGGTGGAGGTCTGTTCTTCTATTAACCTTGGATGAAATTGTTCCCTAAATTAGCTTCCTCACTCTTGAAAGCTGGCATCAATTTTCTTCTGCAGCCCTTTGCTTCTAAGGTACTGTGGCCCCTGCAGTACCCACAGGCAGCAGAATGAGAATGTGTAAGAGAGGCGACGGCCACGATCTGAGCTGCTGGAGAGGCTCTTAGAACCACTTGATGGAGCAAGGAGTCACTTATTGCTATGTGACACAGTTTGGGGAAACTAAAGAAATAAGACTGTGCTGTGGCCACCTGTTTCGGAATCCTGTTCTCCATCTGAAATAAAACCACAGAGGAAAAAAGGCAGCTTCACCAAATGCAAATTACTCCAAAATGTGATCCGTGATTGCATGAACTTAGGCATTTCACTGACACTGATCTGAAAACTTTAAACTGAAATGCTTCTGAAGGTCCAAAAAGAGGGCTGAGAAGATTCCAAAATTTCTTGTCCACAGTTTGGTTTGAAGATAATGACTTATGACTGCTTTCATCCAACCGCAGGATAAAGGTTATGTCCATAAAACTGATTCTGAAGTTACATTGACGTCTAACGAGCAAGTAGGCCTGGACGTCTCCCTCTCATGAAGGATTACTCTAAATCTCTAGCCATTCATCCCTCTTTGGGGTCAGGTTTTGTTAGCCTAAGGAATGAAGRACTTGCTCAGTGTTGTAATGTATGCCACTCATGATGCTTAATCCTTTTGAACAGATCATTGAATATCCCTCCAACAACCCAGAACAAAGATCAGCAAGGCCTAAACTACACATAGATAAATACAAATGTATTTCCTTCTATCTGTATGAAGCACTAAAATTTGCTGCACAAGACTCCAGGGCYACACCAAGAGCAGCTGCTGCACCAGAAGAAAGTGATCTAGCAAACCCAGTATAAACACTAGGTTCATCACAAGCTTTGATGAGGAGCAGAGTTCACTTCTGACAGCTTTAGCGTTTGCTACCACTTCTTTAAGTACAATCTTCTTATACTCTGTAAGAGGCAGATTGATCTCAACAGCTACTGCACATGCAGCCACTACAAASTGACCTTGCAGATCTCTGTCTGGTTGTTACTAATCAAAATTCTGATCAAACTTCTTGAACTCAGATCAGGGTAACCTCTATTTACACGCATTTTTCGTTCTTCTTTGAGAAGCAAAATGTAATTTCAAATTCATCAATGATAACAATTTTTTGCAAATAATACAAGAAATACAAGTATTAGCTATGCCTTATATAGTTATCAAAATGTTTGTTGAAATTTTAGTTTTAGTTYCCCAAAATGAAAGTTGAATATAAGTGCTAAATCAGAAAGCTCTTTTCTTGAGCTTTACAAAGCTTTGAAAAAGGTGGCATCTTAAACAGAATAGTTATAACTCACTTCTGTGAAATCTAAAATTAATTTTCAAACTTACATATTGTRTCTCTTACAGTCAGCAGCCATCTGTAACACTATAATAATGCACTGCCTCTTGGAGTGACCTCAAATGGATTCATTAAATGTCCCTAACAGTTTATACACTGAAAAGCTGCATATGCACAGAAGCATCTCAGTTCCTCATTTCTCCTTGAAAACTATTTTCTAGTCATCCAGCTGATACGCTTTTACTGAACTACATGAGCTTCTTGTTGAAAAAGGTTTAAATGTTTAATTTGCTTTGCTGTATCTAATAAATAAATCACATTCCATAATACAAAATGTTGAAGGGAAATATATTCAGACTGTAGGATAGAGACAATTTCAAAACAGCAATCTTGTTGAGTCAGACCAACTGTAATAAATTTTGTTTGTATCTGAACTTCTAAGAAGAGAACAGCAGCTGGTTCTGAGGAAGCTTCCTAGATATTGCACGATATCTGTATACAACGAAAAACACGGAACCTCGAAGCTGGTGCAAATACTTAGAAAAGAGACCAGGTAGACTCTTCTTGTCCAAATAAAAATGCCAGTACCTAATTCATTATTAAAATCACGCTCAAACAAAAATGTTCTCTGAGGGGCATGGAGAGGAAAAAAAAATTATTAATCAATAGCAGAATATGTATTCTGAATTAGACTACAAAAATACAGAAGATTAACAATTATGAGCTGCATGAGTCTTAAGTGTATTACCTAAAGATTTTGCTTGAATCAAGGTAACATGCAAACTATAACCCTGTTTTTGGTAGGCCACATTTGAACTACAGGTAAAAGCAGATTTCTTCAGGGTAAGAAATTCTTTTTACTTGAAAGGCACAGCAGGTTTATTTTCTCAACCAGAGGACTACTCTTCAGTATAAAAGATAATTTTCAAACAAATAATTTCAAACTTATCTATTAAAGTCAACAATAAGTAAAATCCAGAAGACTTCATAGTGTCTTCAAAAAAAAAGAAGTAATTGTATTAAATAATGAGTGTTTGGAAGCAGGTTTCTCTAGCACGTGCCAATCTATGAGAATCTGTTTTTTGCTTTACATGACAATTCATTACTAAGGTTTATTCTGACCCAATCTTGTAGTATCTTTTTCTTTCTTTTCTGCCCCCTTACACAAAGGGAGTCCTCTCCTTTCCTACAGATCTTTCAAGTGTTTCATAGAAGGGGTTTTAAAGAGTTGGTGCTGYCCATTTTATTAGAGTGCTTTGACTGTCTCTAGAGCAAACCCAGGGCACCAGCGACTTAAGCAGAGACAAGTCCTTGTAGCAGGACAGAATTAACACTCACCTACCACTGCAATGATGTTTTCTGCTGCAAACAGACAAATACCTATTTTAGAAATTCCAGTCTGAATCCATGTCAGGAGAAATACTCTGAGATTTTTATAAAGTAGTTTTTGAGGCTCGACATGCAGATAACATACCGTACACTTTTAATAGCAATATCACAGGATTCCAGGAAGAAAAAAAAAGAAAAAAATGGTGGACTGAGGAGAGCAATAAAAGGTTACTGTACAGTGAATCTTCCTACCAGGAGAGCAAGGGACATTTCACAATATTTGACAGAATCCCATTCGAGATACCAGTGAGAGTCCAAGTCTCCGAGGTTGTCACAGCAACTCTGCTATACCAGCAAGCTCAGAACAGGCAGGCTCCCAAAACAAGCACGCTATTTGAGTCATGTTAAGAAAATCTGGTGAGAAGGTAAAGGTACATTTACCCTTGCAGGATATTTAAAAAAAAAAAAAAAAAAAAGAGAGAGAGAGGAGGTGGAACGGAAAAATAAAAGCTGTGTGTCTGATGCTTCCGTAGACAGGTAAATTATTTGTAAATAGCAATAATAACGTGGGACTCCTTCCTACTTATTAACATTACTATTCAATACTGCCCTATTTGTTGGCAATGACTACTGAGATTGAGGAGGGAAAAAAAAGAAATCAAAAAACAGAGATTTATATAAAGTAGTGTAACCAAAATTTCAACACAGAAGATGCATTAGAAAATATTTCAGGCAGATCCTTAAAATATCTTGCAGTCATAAAAACATTAGGAGTTATCCATTTTTCAAAATTATGTTTTTAATCASAATCTCCAATTTTGCGCAGCATAATTCATATCTATAATATTTAGRTTAGCTTCTCCTGATTATATTTTTAAAATTTTATTAGTATTTAGAAATGAATTTTCCTACCACTATGCTTATATAAGATAAACATAAAGTACTTACACCACTCCCGGCATATAGAACAATAAATAATAGATTCCCCTGACAGGACTTTGATGACCTAGCAAAGCCCGAGTGCTTTCAGCCAAAATCATATGAAACCATAAATCACTCTATTTTATGGAATATTTCAAAATGGATTCCTGCTTTCTACCTTGAAAGTCATTTCATGTGTTATTTATAACCAGTGAAGACCAGAATGGAAGGAAAATTGCATAGAACTAGAAAATTTACTGTGACTGCTTTTATAAAGARTAACTCCTTTTAGAAAAAAAATAGAGTTACTGGCAGACAAACTTGTGAATACAGCCACCTTTTAAAGAGTAACACCCTTTATTTTACAGCTTCACCATAAGSTAATACAGGCTTCCTGTAATATCAGAGATAGGTTGGAAACTGAATTAAAACGGAATATAATCCAAGCAACTGCAGAAACACAAAGCTAAGGGTAATCCTGCATGCTTATCCACACCACTAAAATAAATACATACAGCCACATGATAAATATTTGTACTTAGTGATTTCTGCCATAACTTGAGCATTGATGAATGTTTTGCCTTTGAATTTTCCTGCATGATAATTGTCTAAAGATAAAACATACCTTTACTTTTTAAAAGTTTAGACCTAAGTACCATTCTCCCCTCAAAATAGATGTTTTTTTTCTTGAGACAGTTACCAAAGAACTCAAAATATTCTCTTCCTAAATAGGTACTAGCATTTCAATACCTACACCTACTGCAAAAACCGACCTCATAAAAGCTTATCAATAACAAACTCACTTCAATGAGCACGACTATTGCCCACTTGAACAAGCATTTGGGACATCAGCCTTCCCAAATTAGGTACTGCTCACTGTTAGATAAATAGACTTCGTTGAATATTGCTTTCCAAAGACTAGACTTTCTGAAACACCAAAACTACTTCGTAGATTAAGGATATTTGTGAACAAGCTACTTTGTGAGAGAAATATCCAATGAAGTCATTTATGTCTGGTTAGAGTAACTTGACCATAGCACTATATTAAAAAGCAGGGATATGACAGTCTTCAGGAGGGAGGACTGGGAGGAGAAAGACAGAGAGACGAAAAAGATGACTTAAATGACATAAAAGAATAGAATTAAAAACAATGCTGAAATAGGGTTTTTAATTCTCACATGTTATTTTCATTAGAAATTTAAGATACGAGAGGTTTTATATCATATGGTTGTCCAGTTTTCTTTCAAGTCTTGGATGTAGCTTCCACAATTTTAATGAAAACCTTGCAACTGGATCATAAAGCCATCAAACAAAGGACTAGTATTTTTGTGTAATACACAATACACAAAAATACTTTCGCAATATCTTGCTACAAAAGTGTTTTCATAAGACAATGTTTACCTAGGAGAAGAAAAAATTACTTTCTTCTGTAAGTGAATTTACTTTTACCAGGGAGATATCAAAGTACTAACTCAACATAAGCATTAGGTTAAGTGGAGCACTGATGACTAAAATTTCACATGAGGTTTCATTTTCATTAAGCTCACTATGAGAAGGGAAACTGTTTCACTAGGGGAAACAGTTAAAYGACCCTGAATTTGGGGGGGGGAATCAAATATAATCTTACCATTCAATCTAATCACTAAAATTAATCAATGCACAAATTATAAAACCAGAAAAAGGCCACACATGAAGAAAAGAACGTCATTATTACTAAACATTTATAAAGATCATTAGCACAGTAACAATCCAGTTATTCCAAAATCTGTGTTGATTACAATCAAATATCCAAATGTACCATGACTATAACATCTGAAAACAGATACTTAAAGACATGGCTAAAATATTTACTCAAAGTCACTTGTAAAAAGAGGCRATGAATAAAAGCTGTATTTCATGGCAACATTATATCCTGGATAATTTTATATAGAAAAGAAATATTCAATCAACTGTATCAGTCACCCTTTACATATGTGCTGGGCAAAAAGTAGATGCACAGGAACGAGAGAATTTTTATATTTTAGTAATCAATTTGAAAAACCTTCAAATTCATTCTAAGAAGACCCTACAGTAAACCAACAGCTCTAAAATACAGTGTTAAATACAACTCCACATCAAGCAGCCATGTTTCCGAGAGAGAATTTAGCTCAAGGAAATTCTCCCTCCCTGGCACATATCAAACCTCCAGTATGGGAGGCTCACTCCCAGTCAGGGAAGGTCACATTCSATGGCTGGCACAGACCATCCCAAGGACAGCAGAGCCTGAAGTGCCTCTGATGTTGAGCCTATGGCGTCAAGTGAATAYTGTTAAGAGAGTGGCCAAGAGTGCACAAACTGTTACGATGGGGACATCCTTCCACCAGCCCTTTTTCTCAGGGAGCAGCCAGGCACTTAGCACAGGGGTCACCCCRGACAGGCGCTGCACGAGAGGGGAAATGAAAGACAGCAGGAGGCAGCAGGCTGCCACCCCCGGCATCCATCAGCTGCCCTGCGTGTGACACTGTGACGTCCCGGGGCAGAGCAGGCTCCACCGCATCCTGCCTTCCACAGGAACTGCAGAACCTCWGCAAGAAAGTTCTGGCGGGACAGAAGGGTTCAACTCCTGCACAAGCACCACGAAAACAAAAGCTATGTGTCAGTTAGATGATAACAGTCAGCTCTATTAAAGATATACCACCTTCACTAGCTTCCTTAGCAGCTAGAATAGCTCCAACCACTACTAGCTACTGTTTTCACCTTTTGGCCGCCTTAGTATGTAAAAGAGCTAAATAGATTGACATTGATATCAAAAGCTTCATGACATCACTATCATTTTGTACGCCACTATCTATGTAAATATGATTCTTTTCCTGGCAGTAAAGACTGAATTACTCTCATGAATCACAAAAAGATGCATAAACACTTTAACATTCTGCTCTGTTGGTTTGGTATTTCAGCCTTTCATTGTCTCCCATTCTTCTCATGAACCCAAAATTCACAGATCTGAACTCATATGAAAGCAACAGGTTTACTACAGGGCTTTTATAGGGTACAACAGGACTAAGAATCTCTTAACTGGCTCAAAAACTTTAATTTTTCATTTTTGATTATATTTTAAGTCAACAATGAGAAAACTRTATTTTTTTCATTTCTTACAAATCCCAGAACTAAATCAGAAGCTCTTTGAGGCTTCTATACCAACTACACCAACACTGAAGGTAACTGTTTTTAACTGGCACACACTCAACATAGCAAGAAACTCACTCCATTCCAAATGGCTTAAAAATGGCTTAAAAAAGGCTCAAATCTGAAAGGCAGACCTTAATTTGACAAAGTAATGAATTCAACAAATGGAGTTCCTGACTTCACATGAAAAGCAGAAACATTTAGAAGTGTCTTTCTTGCTCTTGTGCTCAGAACACCACCCCGAGCAGACCTGGGGAGATCTCCATAGAGGCCTGCAAGATATCCTTGTAAATTTGGGACTACTGACACTAATGTTTTGATCACATTATAGACTAGAGCTCAGGGCCAAATTCAAGGTTTTTGGGAGGGAGGGAAGGGATTATGGCTCATCAAGAGCCATTTGGACTAGGCCACTAYGATCCCAGCTCTGTATAACAGGGATATATTTCAATATACATCCAGATGTTTCAATATATTTCATAAATACGATACACAAGCAGAAAACATCTTACTTCTGAAGGAATACTTAGACAGTGTCATGGTGTCTGTTGCAGTGAGAGGTTTCAGACCCCATCAGCACTTGTGGAACAGGAAACAGGGTATCCAACATCTTTCAATCATGTTTTCGCAAACACTCAGTAAAATATACTTTAAGCAGAGACCTCAAAGATGCAATCACGGAGTTAGGGGGAAAAAAAAGAAAAAAGAAACCAACCTTGATAGCTTCATTCTCATATCAAGAGCAAAAACACTCGCACATTTCATGCATACATTGAAGTCACACTGACTTTAATTCTCCAGAGCAGAAAAGCGACCTGGTAGCTCGGCCATCCCGGGGGCGCTGCAGACGAGAGCCCCGCGGGCTCGGGCCCGGGCTCGAGCCAGTACCGGGCGCGCCGGAGCCGCGCAGGCGGGTGTGGGTGCCGGCCCCAGGCCCGCTGATCCCGACACGGCGCGCCCGCCGCCCCCGCGGGGCTGCCCCTCCGTGGCGGGGCTGCCCCCCCACCGCGGCACCCCGGTCCCCCCGGCCCGGCCCGGCCCGGCTCCCCCCGCCGCGTACCGGTCCCTACGACCACCACGTCAAACTCCGTGGGCAGGTTGTCCGCCATCTTGGGAGGGGCGCCGCGCCGCGGCTCCCGCCGGCGGAAGCGGGGCGCGCCACGGGTGGGACTTCCGGCGTCGACGCGCGGGGCCTGCTGGGAGTTGTAGTCGGTACCACAGCCAGCTGCACAGTGATGCTTTGTAATTTAACGGATATTTTCAGTTTTTAATTTAATCCTCGGCGGGCTCAGGGAGCTCTTGACATCGGACGCAAACGTCACCCTGTACTGATGGCTCAGAAACCTGATAAAAAAACACCTGTGCTCTCTTGGCCTGTTGGGCCAACTGCTCATCCCCTAGTTCCTACCAGGGACTTTTAATCTCTAGCACCGATCTTATCCTGATCTCTCAGTTTACATCCCTTTGCATGTTTAGACCTCTTTAGCCAATCCTATCTTAAGTAGAAATGCTCACAGCAAAAATGACTTTACTCAATGGCGAAAGTAAGATTTTGTGGATTTCTTCCTTAAATGGGATCTGATTCCTTAGGAAGTTGTATTCTCTACATTTTTTTCTGCCTACTGACTGACACACTGTTAAATTTAAAGTTGAGTCATGACAGCTGTCATGTTCAGCACAACTTAAACTTGGCAGTATTACAGGATCACAGAAGGGTTGAGGTTGGAAGGGACCTCTAGAGATCACCCAGTCCAACCCCCTGCTCCAGCAGGGACACCCAGAGCTCGGGGCACCCGGTCACATCCAGGCGGGTTTGGRAGATCTCCAGAGCAGGAGCCTCCACAGCCTCYCTGGGCAGCCTGTGCCAGGGCTCTGGCACCCTCACAGSAARGAAGTTSTTYCTCACATKCAGATRGAGCTGCCTGGGTTTCAACTTGCACCCATTGCCCCTTGTCCTGTCACTGGCCACCACCAAGAAGAGATTGGCCCCTTCCTCCCTACATTCTCCCCTCAGGTACTTATACTTATTAATCAGATCACCTCTCAGCCTTCTCCACAGRAAACAGGCCCGAGTCACTCAGTCTTTSCTTATACAAGTGATGCTCCAGCCCCTTAATCACCTTYKTCGCTYTCCGCTGGACCCTCTCCAGAAGCTCCAMATCCCTCTTGTCCTGGGGATCCCAGAGCTGTCCCCAGTGCTCCAGGTTTGRCCTYCCCAGAGCTGAGCAGAGGGGYAGGATCCCCTCCCTGCCCTGCTGACAATATCCTCCTGTTGCAGCCAGGAGCCCATTGGCCTCYTTGGCCACGAGGGCCCTGCTGCCTCATGGTTAACTTGGTGTCACCCAGGACTCCCAGGTCCCTCTCTGGGGAGCTGCTCTCCAGCWGGGCAACCCCTAATGTGTCCTAGTGCCTGGGGTTATTCCTGCCCAGGTGCAGGACCCTGCACTTGTCCTTGTTGAACCTCATGAGGTTCCTCTCTGCCCAACTCACCAGCCTGTCCAGGTCCCTCCCCACAAGCCCAGCCCTCCGGAGTGTCGGCCACTCCACCCAACTCGATATCATCCACAAACTTGCTCAGGGTCCCCTCTGTGCSCTCGTCCAGGTTGAAAAGCACCGGGCCCAGTACTGACCCGTGGGGGACACCACTGGCCACAGGCCTCCAACTGGACTCGGCCCCATTTATCACCACCCTCTGAGCTCTGCCATCCAGCTGGTTCTCAATCCACCTCATGGTGCACTCATCCAGACCACTCTCCTGRAGCTTTCCTATGAGAATATTATAGGAGACACTGTTGAAAGCCTTGCTGAAGTCAAGGTAGACACGGCTCTCCCCTCGTCCGGCCGGCCAGTCATCCATCATAGAAGGCTATAAGGTTCATCAGACATGACTTCCCCTTGGTGAATCCATGCTGACTGCTCCTCAACACCTTCTTCTCCTTCATATGCCTGGAGATTCTCTCTAGGATGAGCYGCTCCATCACCTTTCCAGGGACRGAGGTGAGGCTGACCGGCCTGTAATTGCCCAGCTCCTCCCTCTTGCCGTTTTTGAAGACTGAGAGAGAGGCTGAGCAATAACCTCCACCAGTTCCCTCAGCACTCTTAGGTGCATCCCATCGAGGCTCACAGAMACGTGGGTGGCCAGTTTGCCTAAGCGATCCCTAAMCCAATCCTTCTCGACCAGCAGAGGGTCTTCCTCTCGCCTGTTTCTCTCTCTTTAACCTGAGTTCTACAGTTCATGGAGAGTGGCCTTAGCAGTAAAGACAGAGGCAAAGAAGGCATTTAGTAACTCTGCCTTCTCGRCATCCTCCGTCACCAAGGCCCCCTCCCCATTCAGCAGTGCACTAACATTTTCCCTAGTCTTCCTCTTGCTGCTGACATATTTATAGAAGCCCTTCCTGTTGTCCCTGACATCCCTYGCCAACCCTAATTCCAGACGGGCCTTGGCCTTCCTCGTTGCGCATCTGCATTCTCTGGTGATGTGCCTATACTCTTCCCATGTGGCCTGGCCCTTCTTCCACATGCTGTATGCTCTTTTTTTTCTCATTCACTTTGCCCAGCAGCTCCTTGCCCATCCATACAGGTCTCCTGGCCGCTTACTTGACTTCTTTCTTGTGGKAATGCACCGATCCTGAGCTTGGAGGAAGTGGTGCTTGAATATCAGCCAGCTCACCTGGACCCCCTTTCCTTCTAGGACCCTGACCCAGGGGACTACTCCAAGGAGCTCCCTGAAGAGGTCAAAGTTGGCTCTCTTGCAGTCCAGGGCTGCAATCCTGCTTCTTGCCCAGCTTCCTCCACRCAGGATTGGGAATTCCAGTATCTTGTGGTCACTACAGCCCAGACTACCCCTAACCCTCAGACTTCCCATTAGAGCATCTCTGTTTGTCTCATCAACCACCTGCACCAAGAAGTTATCTGCAATGTTCTGCAGGAACCTTCTGGACTGTTTGTTGCTGGCTGTGTGATAACTCCAGCAGACAGCATTATATTAGTGTATTAGTTCATTGATTTTAGTCATTAATTTCATGTCCTTCATTTTTTATTGCCATATGAATTAGATGCTGGACTGAACTTTGTCCTGGTCTGCATTTAAAACCCTTCTATTTTCCTGAACACTGTAATTAACATTAACTCTTCATTTACAAACTCCTTGCTTGCACTCCAGCCCTGTTTCACCCCGGCTYCAGGGTACGGAGCAGTGAAGAGGGGATCAGGGTGAAACCACACGCTGAAAATCGCCCAGGCTGAGCAGAGAACGGCAGGACACGAAGAGCCACGGTTAGACCCAGCACTGCAGGAAAAACAACCAGCACAGAGAGCCGCGGCGGCATCAAGGACATAATGGAAATGTTGCTTTTTATATTGCATTTAATGACTTGAAAGAGTTTAAACTAATCTCTTACTATTATTCATTGTGTATGATTCTATTAAAGTCTTAAGACCTTAAATCAACAATAACAGTAAACCAGCCAGCAGCCTGTTAACACCTTGTTAAAAGCTCCCTGCTCACATGGTGAAAGAAGGGTGAAAACAGTATAAATCAAGTAATGGAAACCAGAGACCACCTTACCCCTGGTGCTGCCAGGCTTGCCAGAAGAGCACAGAAAACAAATCTCTCGCAGGAAGCACCACGCAGGGTAAGACTACAAACTCTGTGTCTGTAGGCATCAGTCTCTGGTTAACAGGCTAAAAAACACATAGCGGAAAATCAGTAGTCACAGATTTAGATATAAAAGTAGTGAGATGTGCTTGGCTGGTCCTTTCACACTTCCAGCTGTCCCCCAGGAATTTTAAAGCCACTTCCATTTGGTTCCTAAGTCCTGCTCCCCAGGCTGAAGTTTCCATGTCTTTAACCCCCAACAACAGCTATGCAGCTCCTGGCCTACGTGCGCTGGGGAACAAAGTGCCCTCTATTGCTTGGGTCTTTTTGTCTCAGAAAAGACAAATTCTCCTCTCCCAACCTCCTCTTGCTGAGAGAGGCAATCCTCATGAAAATATAATTCATTGTGAAAACCTTCTTTATTGTTTAGCATAATTCTAGGGCACTAGAATAAAGCTATTTCACTGTCAATGTCTTACTGTTTCTCAAGTGCTTAAGTATTTATCTCACCACAAACTGCTGTTGTTTGGTTCTGTGAGTTCCTGTTAGCTTCATTCATAAGATGCAATCAGTGCAGTCCTATTTCATGATGACAGTCATTATCCACTGGACCAGAAATTCTTCTTAGCACTATTTATTTGAGAAAAAAATGATTATTCAGGATCTTTAACTGCTAGGTCTGTCAGCCCCATCCAATGCAAAAATGTTTCCCTCCGCTTTGCAGTTTTAATATCAGCAAATGCTGAAGTAAAATATTCAAATATGAATTATTTTTATGAGGATTTCATGGGCCCTGAGAAAACGTCTTACCATGTTTGTCTCTTTAGCTATTTAATTGCAATGTCATAGTAACAGAAAGCAGCATACCCAATTCTGCATGGATGAATAAGCACATTCAATAAAGAAGATTTAACAGAGTAAATCAAACACTGGATTAAACATTTTCTGCATAACAGACCACAAAATGGGCATTCATTTTACCAATAGATCCTCTACATTAGAAACAAATAGAAATGCACACCAACATAATTAAACTGCATATTCTGTGGCCTGATTGCAGTATTTCCCTGTATTTTATTAAACTAGGTCTCATCAATTAGAATTACCAAAAAGCATTGAAGAATGCACTCCGACAAGACTAAATGTACTTTTTTACCATTTATATTAAATAATTTGCTTTTCTTTGTTTAATTAAATAATTCATCAACTTCATTCATATTCCTTTGCATTTCAGCAAAGGTTTCATACACTACTTATTCGTAATAGTTCAGAAAGACACATGAAAATATCAGTTTAGGATTCCATATTAGTATTCTTCAAAGCAGTCTTCTTTCTGTAAGCAACTTTTCCTGCCTTTATTTCAAGCAAAACATATATCTTACAAAAAGCTGATTTCTTTGCTTCATAGCTTTTACTGTGATTTTCACTTATTCACAGAATTAACTTTTTTTTTCTTTAAAATCTGTATAGTTAATATCCAACTTTATCAGGATACTTGCAGAAATCTCAGCA